AATAATAATAATAGTAATAGTAATCGCATGAACCAACCACGAATATGTTTTTTAGATTTGGGGTTAAATGTTTTTCGATTTCAATATTGTGCACTGATTGTTGAAAAGATTAATTCAACTTCTTTATTTTAGGTCTTCTTAACGATAAAAGCAGCAGTGCAGAAAACAAAGCAGTCAAGCCCACTCAAGCAGTCTTCCAAAGCCAAAGTACGAATTTTGTCACTTTTAGATAATAATAGACCATTTGCATGATGACGTCATTTTACTACTACGACCAGAATCCTTCAGGACTTTGCTTTCTTGTGCAAATTAGGGCTTTTTGTTATTTAAACCTCACTGGAATTACCAAATTTAAATCTGAAAGGAAAAACGAAAAGGATTCTAGTCATAGTAGTAAAATGACGCCATCGTGCAAATGGCCTATTGTAACATCGCCCCTTGCAAGGGAATCCAAGACAGTCTTAAATTATGGACTCCAGGGATTGGATTCCGGATTCCAGGGTTTGGATTCCGGATTCCAGATGGGAATTCCGGATTCCAGGAATTGGATTCCGGATTCCAGTATTGGATTCCGGATTTCAGGTATTGGATTCCGGATTCCAGGGATTGGATTATGGATTCCAGGGATTAGATTCCGGATTCTAGGCATTGGATTCCGGATTCCAGGGACTGGATTATGGAGTCCGGGGATTGGATTCCGGATTCTTTGTTAGCGGAACTTGGATTGCGGATTCCAGCCATTAGTAGGGATGCCGGATTCCTTGAGCTGCATTTCGGATTCCACTAGCAAAAGTTGCCCAGATTCCGGAATGTACGGACTCCCTCACTTAGGGCGTGTACGGACTCCCTCACTTAGGGCGAGTATCAGTTGCCACAAGAAATGTGGTTAATATAATTAATGGAGCCCTATACCTGAGAGAAAATGATTAGTCAATTTCAAATTTTAAAACCTACTACAAATCGTGTCAGTTGACCGTGAGGTCTGTCTTATCAGCTGGTAAGAATGATGTAGGGGCACCCAGCGACCGTATGTTTTCAAGTTTGGGGAGTAAGGGATGGCGCAGGGGTGAGAGCGCTTGCCTCCCATCAATGTGGCCCGGGTTCAAATCCCGGCGTCGGCGCCATATGTAGGTTGAGTTTATTGTCGGTTCTCTCCTTTGCTCCGAGAGGTTTTTCTCCGAGTACTCCGGTTTTCCCCTCTCCTCAAAAACCAATTCGACCAGGATTCAGGTAGACGAAGAACCACTTTGTGGATGTGCTACCTCCAAATCACTTTTATTTATATTTATTAAAGTACGTTAGAAGTGTTCGTTTTACATTGTTTTCTTTACACTTGACTTTTCAAACCTCTTTGGTTAATTTGGAGCTTCCCTAAAAGTAATTTATCTGTTCGGAAGATTCTAGGGGACGCCTTTTCTTAAGACCGACATTTTCAGGAGACCTTTTTTTAATAATAACCTTGGAAATGATAAAAAAGGAAAACACAACTTTGAAAATCTTAGGTAAGCTAGTAGAAAAACTTCGATTATCTTAGACGAATGTAACGAACGGTTATCCCGAACTTTTAAGCCTTTTGCCAGGTTTAGAAAATAATTTTTTAGGCAATATTCTACTCCATTGAACAGTTATTTTACAGTAGTAGGCTGCCCTATGTTAAAATGCCCTGAAATAGCAAACTACCCCTTTAATTTAAAGTGTAGAAGAACACATAAGTAATGCAAAAGAGCTTAACAAGGGCTTTCGTTGAACCAGCGTTTGAAAAGTGTATCTCACAGTCAATAAGGCTAAAATTGCTTGATGGTGTGACTTTCTGTTATGATTGAGTGATTTTTCTTCTACTTTCGTCAGTTACTTTAATCGTGTCTTTTACAACTTTAATGTATTTTACCGTAGAATCTTTGAGACGTGATGGACCTCTACACATTGTTGAATTTAGCATTGATTTGAAGTCCCATAAGGATGCCGTTCCTGCATCAGTTGGAGCATTCGTTTACCTGACAGGTAGGATATTCAATCAAAACATTCAATCGTGAGAGCAGGAGATTTGCTAATAGCTTAGCTAGCCTGTTCACAGACCCTCTCTTTGCTCTTCAAAGTCCGTCGAGCGCGGGGAATTTATTGACCGCCAGCGCAAGGGGGGCCCGTTCTTTAAGCCAAGAAGCCAAAAAAGCGCGCCTTCACATCGAATTTTACACTGAAATTGTGGAACGATCTGACGCTTTAAAATGGAACGATCTGGCTTGGGACGATCTGACCATGGATCTAAGTGACCGTAAACCAAAATGATAACCGAGGGGTGAAAGGAATTGAAAGTTTCCGGAGCGCGTACTTTAAGTATCTCTTATTTCCCCCTGCTTGTCAGTAGCGATAGAATAATTTTTTTGAAGTGTCTTCATGACAATAAATGTTGGTCGGAGTGGTTTATAGCATTTTTCAGCACTGAGTAATTCTTTTCGATCAATACAACAAGCTTTTTCTTAGCGATCGGGTTTGCATAATTACAACACAAGATACGCTAGCAGTGAAAATATATTTTCCACCGTTATTTAGCCTCGAATTCTTTTTTACAGTTTGTCGCCTTCAGGCGTCACACTTATGGTTAGGGCCGCACGCGATCCACTCATAGCTGATTTTACCTGGTTTTGCGGTTATTTAAGCGATAAATAATTAACGTTCGTTTGAGCGAAGCTAATTACAACGTAATCTCTATAACAGCCAGGCGTCACAACTAATGTAGGTAAACAGTAATTTCGTTTATGGCAATCGATCTTTGGAAATATCTCCCTTTGCACGTCAAATTTTTAAACGGGCGTCTTAAAGCGCATCTCAGTTGAACTAAATGGTTACAACTAGAAATCGTTCTAGTTAACTTAGCCCCCAGAGTCTTATAGTACATTTGTATTTCATCTATAAGTATTTTTGTGTGTACTAAAGAGAATGTTAATGCAGATTGTAAATTGGTGAATTGACCAAAAGAGCAAGGAAATTCTGTCTGTGTATCCGTGGGATAATAAAAGTACCAACTAGTAAAATGCGAAATGATTGATGTGCGAAGCATGGTCGTTTTTCTTGCATAACAATTCATCATAACAACGGAATAAACCTATCTAAAAAAGAGTTTAGTGGGACAATTTTGGGTTGCTCAGTTGTAATCAGTTTCTGAGTTGTTTGAGCGAAGCTTAAAATTTTTTACCCAGATTTACTTTTTTCATTTACTTTTTTCATTTATTTTTTCTTTAATCTCATTATTCCAACCTTAAATTGTAAAATTTTGTATATATGGCAAATAAAGAATCAATGAATGAATGAATGAATAAATGAAAAGGGTTCAGAACAATTTTAATTTTAACTAGAGGTGGCTAGAGATTATTTTCGCGCTTCTTGTAACAACAGTTTTCGATTTTTTTTAGGAAACCTGCTTGGACCTGTTGTCAACACTACTATCCAGGGTGGCCTGGAGAAGTTTTTCCGTCAACCCACTGGATGTGGGGAGCAAAATATGATCGGTCTCGCTCCGAACGTCTACGTTTTAGGATATTTGAGTGCTACCAAGCAGTTATCTGGGGACAATGAGGAAAATGCTTATCGTTTCATTCAGTCTGGTGAGCTCAGGGTTATGGCGTTTAAATTTAAAGCGGGACGCATACTATTTGGGTATTTTTGTCTTATCAAAGCCTCACCTTTAAGGCACAAAAAAATGCTACCGTGACTATTTTAAGTCAATTATTGTGTTACAATACTGATTGTGGTAAAGTCAAATCTCTGTTAGGGCCTATCATGAAGCTCTCAGAACGTGTTGTCTAATATTAGCTATCGAACCAATCGATTTATGACTCAAAACAATGTCCCTTATGCCTAAAACCAATAGCGGGGGTGTTTTCAAAGGCCAATGAAAACGGAGGCACCAGCTCAGCGAGGGGTATTCTACTAAGTGGCAAAACTCTCTTTAGGCCCTTTTTATTGGAGAAAACCTGTCCCGGCCCGCGGGAATAAGGGTCACCCTCTCATCGGAGTCAACTGAAGCGATCTTTTATGTGATAAAAAAGTTGACCCCTCTGCCCGAACCAACAGCTCTCACGCATGCTCTGATTGTCTCACCTTGACCGAGCTGACCCGGCTGAGTGAGCCAAAATAATTATATGGGGAAAGGTTGGCCCGGCCAGAAGGGTGACCCTACCATCACAAAAGGATGACTTGGCTAGACAGGTCCCCCTTCTAGCCGAGTCAACTTTTTGTTTCTAGTTTAAACGCCTTGCCAAATTTTATAAAGAAAATGGAAGAAAATGTGGCTAGCCCAGGGTAGCTCGGGTAGGCGGTGACTTTTCCACCGTGTACAACTTATCTCAGTTTAAACCGGGCCTAAGTGACATGTTCGGAGAAGTCCCGTTGGACAAGATGTTTATTCCTTACACACAGAATTTCTCGGCTACTTGACCCTTTCTTGAGTTAATTTGGTCGCTAAATAGAGGTTCGACTGTACGCTCTTCTAGGATACCAAAGTGAACTGAACTACCGTCGCAATGACAAGTCCTTTAGCGCTTTTGGAAACAGCCGACCAGGAAGTACATGGTGTGTAAATATTCAGTGCTTTATCATTGTCTGGTATCTTTAATCTTTCTAGAGCCTGTCATTTTTTAACCCGGGTAGCAGTGCTATCTATACATCACTTGCCTTTTTTTCTGTTTGAAGGCTGACAGCTTTTGTAATGAGAGTATTTTGCCGGGCTAAACAGTTTCCTGGGATCAATGTGGATGAAAACCTTGTTTGTGAGTCAGTGCATTGGTTAATTCAGAATCAACGCGGAGATGGTGCTCTCCCAGAGGTCCACCATGTCATTCATAGAGAGATGGTGGTATGTAAGCCCTGTAGTGTTACCTTTTATGGAATTCGAGATTTATAAAGGTTGTCGCGAAGCAATTCTTCGCGAATTTTTGTCTGCGTAACGAAAAGAAGACAATAGAAAGTAATGTTACTGCACATGGCCTAAAAGCTAACAAATGAAGTGTGTGAAAATTAATTTAAGAATTAAAAACGCCCGTACATTTTACCGCAGTTTAGTAGGGAATAAGTATTTCTGGTTCTCAGTAATAAAATTACTAATTTATTTTGCCTTTGATGTGGGTAGACGGGGGGGAAGGGGTATTCTGCTGCAGGCTAGGGTTACGCTCCAGTTGATTTACACAGGAACCTGATGGGGCAATCTCCGAGAAAGTGGGTTGTGGACTTAGGTTCTCTGCTCACATTTATGTGCCCAAAACTGTTTAGAAGACTGCAAATAGATGCTGACCGTTCGGACGAATATTGGCATTTAAATCCTTGATGCACTCAACTAAATATTAATTAAATGTTTCGTAAATGGATAAACTAAGGCCTATTTCTCATGCATTTAAATTCTTTTCTTATTTAAGGGAGGAATATACGGTAACGAGGGAGACGTTGCCATGACAGCCTTTGTTTTGTCGACTCTGGCAGAATGCAAGTGCAACGGAGTGGTATGTGTTTGAGTTACTTCAGGTTAACGTGGTGATAATTTTAATACAAGAAAATCAACTGGTGAAATATCATTAAAAATAAATAAAGTACTACTGGCAGCGGAAAGTTTTTAAAGTTTTTTTAAGTGTGGGGTTGATGGGGAGGAGGAATCACTCGTCGTACATCACGCCAATCGCATACCCCTCCTCGAATTTACCATAATGTTCTATTCGTAGCTCTTTGCAATCTTAACACTACTCACTGTTTGCTTAGTCAACCATTGTTCAGACAACCCTGCAACATAGGCTTTATGTTGCTTCTTAGTTCTTGATCTGAGTTGTCGGAGGGAAAAGCCATCAATGTCATTGGGAATGTAAAATGCAATGTGGTTTAACGATCTGTGAAAAGATCGTGAGACCAGATATTTGCCAAATAAACATTTTTACTCTTTGCAAGCGATATTTTCGGCACCAATTTGTGGGAAGCCAAATCCCCCCAAAATTTTGAGGACCAAAGGTCGCATAGGTCCTACTCCTGCCCTGCCTACTTTGCTGCCAATGCGGGGAAAATAAAAGTACAATTTCCCACCGGTTCGCTCTCTCTTTTCAGAGTTGTTGCCAACTGAATAAGGTGGCCTTATTCTTTTTGGTTCATTTATTTTCACTTTGTAACATCCATATCTCCCGAGCCCCCTGAGTCACTGACTGAACAGACATCTTTTAAATCCATATTTATTTATTTATATATTTTGCCACGCAGATAATATTACATTGAGAGTAAGTTGTGTTTGATTTGTGTTTTCAGAATTCCCAGGCAGCCATTACGCTTGCTACACAGTACCTGGAAAATCAATACAGGACCCTAAACAGACCGTACAGTATGGCACTGACAGCTTACGCGCTGAGTCTGGTGAACAGCGCAGAAAAATTCAAAGCAAACGACAGGCTTGTGCAGAATGCTGTCTACGATAATGGTTCGTGTGTTTCTTCGCAGTATCAGACTGTTTTCAAATTGACATGACTAAAGATAGTAGTGTTTAGTAAGCTTACGTACGCATTGCATATACTGTAGCTGTAGATCCTGCATGCTCAGCCTTATGGAGTCAGTGGTGCTTAGGTAACACTATTTCCAAAAAAAAAAAAAAAAAAAAAAAAAGAAAAAAAAGAAAAAAAAAGTGGGTAAAACAAAAAAAAGCAGAAATAAAAGAGGGAAATTTAAGTTGAGGACACCATAAAATTTTTTTACAAACCCGACTTTGAAGTTGCAGCCTTAACAAAATTTTCGGGTTAAGTCCTTTTTGTGTGGTAGAAGGCGGAGAGTGCGTTACTGGGCTGTCGTGGGAAGGGTGTGGCGTGATCTGTTGTCTATCAGTGAAGAAACGTCCGTGTATTTAAAAACGTGTTGGGCCTGTTGGTAAGCAGAAGGATGTGAATAACGATATTATTTAAACACCTCCTTGCCCCGCCCCCTTACCCGCCCGTCCTTCACCCCCCCCCCCCCCCCCCCGCTTTCTCTCTTTCTTGCTTCAGGAGACGAGTTAGAGAGGACCCTGGGAATGAGATTGTCGGTTATACAGTTACATCGCTTAATAGGTCAATTTAGGGTTGTATGCTAAGTAACCCAGCCTTCGAGTGGAAGTGGGCCCCTGGAGATAACTAAGTTTTGATAGAAACCTCAGTGCCGTTTGTCTGCATATATTAGGAAGTTTAAGAAACGACGTTTTTGAGCGACGCACGTCAACTGAAAGTGGACTTTTTGCACTCTTGAGCCATGATTGTGAACAAATTTTCCCAGCAGACCATTTCTATCAGAGTAAAGACACTTAGCAATACAAATTTGATCAGTAAGTACGCAGCTCTTCAAAACCTCTAATTTCATTGGTTCTAAATAACACGCAGCTCCGTTGTTTTGGGGATAGAGTCATAGTCATATTTCTATGTCTATTGTTTTCACAGCTAATACTGTGAGGCCTTGAAGGACCTGCGTGGCGCCCCAATTTGATAGCATCAAGGCATATCAATAGGGAAGAGGACTCACTTCAGGTTGACGTGCGTCGCTCAAAGATGTCGTTGCTTAAACTCCCTTTTTTGCGTGATTTACTTGTAAAAAGAATGTTTTTTTAAATCAAGGTCATCACTAGCCGAATTAAAGCGCTTGATAATGGTCAGTTTTACAGTAATTAAGGGAAACTATTTTCAGGACTTCGGTAAGTGACAGCTTATAATAGAGGTTCGCTTAATTTTGACTGTATTTTTTTTTTCTACAGGACACAGTTGTGGCGCTACAGGCTCTTGCTGCGTACAGCGATAAGACAAAAGGAAGGGGATTGGATCTGAGAGTTAAAATTAGGTCGGAGCTGGACATTAATTGGAAACCAGCCGAGATACATATCAACAAAGAAAAAGCACTGCTACGCAGAGCGATTGATGTAAGTCAAAAATTTATGTTCATTTTAAAAAACGAGCGGAAGTGTATTATCTGCATTATCAGGTTTGAAACTCGAGGCGCAGCGAGTTTTTTTGAACGGCTTCAAAATCTCTGATATAGATCAACTCATTCTTGCACTAATATTTAAGATTTGGGGTTATTTTGGTCTAAAAAACTGGACGACGTAGAGTTTAGCCGTGTCTTTATCAGGTAGAAAGTGAGTTTTTTAATACTTTACCAACATGCTGTTAATTTGCTAAACTGTTTTTAAAATACTTCACTCAAAAAAGGACTAGGCCTAAGTGTTTAAAACTAGCCCCTTCCACGGTTTCTCGGTTTTTGACTAGGGCCAGAAAATCCGACATTTCCACTGGAAAAAACGCCTTAAAATCGGAAAGAATACCAATGCCCCGTCCACACTTATCTGGATATTTTTGAATCCGCAACTTTTTTTTTCCGGATGCGGGTTCTGTCCAAACGTATCCGGTGAATCCGCATACGAATCCTCAACTTTCTGATTCTGCTCTCCAGAGTAAAAATTTTTGAATACACTTTGAATCCGGAATCGTGTGGACGCTAAATCCGGAAAGTTTTCTTTATCCGGTGACATAACAAGATCGAACCCAGTTCTTTGCCGTGAATACTATGTTCAAGATGGTATCCTCGTTCCCAGGTTCTCTCAGAGCAGAGCAAGATGTAAATTTCTCGCGTTTTACGACCCATTCCCTGTTTCCAATATTCCCAGAGGAGTCCTGGGCACTAGAGTGAATCCGGATTCAAAAATATTGAGATACATGTGGACGGGGCTCAAGTTTGAAAGTGATTTGCTAAAAACTAACAAAGATGTACGTAGCTCCGCGAAGTCGCGAAATTTTACAGACGTTTATGTGATGGGACGGGGGGGCAAGTCTATCCCCCCCTGACCATAGACGTTTTTGAGCGACGCACCTTTACTTTTTATAAACGACCTACAAAGGACTCTAGACCACAGATAAAGACCAAGACTGTTTTAAATCTTTCACAATTATATTTGTTCGTCGCTACTTATTTTAATACTCTATCGATCTTATGCTGACAGAACAAACGCGGCGCCGTTTTTGTCGTCTTTGTTTTGATCCTTGGGCTAAAACACACATTGATCGCGCAAAATTGTTCGATCGTGCCGAATCACTGCGACGTCGAGAAAAACATAACCAAGTATCATTGGTACACTACTCCATTCTAAGAAGTCCGTGAATGACGATGGAAGGCAAACTTTAATTACTATTTTCCAAACATCCGAGCAATATACTCGAACATAAACAGTTCATAGAAGTGGCATTCATTATTTCAAAGCCCTGAAGAAGCTCATTACAATTTGGAGGTAAATGCATGCTAAGACAGTTAAATTTACTAATTGTTTATACATTCTGTTCCTGTGTCCAACGATGGTGAATGGAATTGCTCTAAATAAAACCAAAAATGAACGCCTCAGAAGTCTGACCTTAAAGTTAAAAAAGGGCTGAAAACTTTGTGTTAGTTCTATGTCACTCTATAATGACGATGTAGATTGTGTTTCCCCAAGGATTTTTAAATTTGATCCTTCCACAGCTGTATGTTCAAAGCAACGAAAAGCTGGAAATTAGAAAAGTTTCCATACTAAATCGGTGGCTAATCTATTTATATGTTTGGTTGAAGGAATACCCAACCTCTAGATTAAGAATTAATTTTAATAAGTCAAATGAATTCAATATCGGCTTTTTTCACAGGTCAAGAGGTTCCTGGGTGGCAAACTTATTGTGACAGCAAAAGGAAAGGGAATTGGGCTACTCGAGGTAAACACATTATTATTCTGACTTACTTGTTGATTTATTAGGGAGCCTTAGATTTTCGAGGACTAGGACGACTACGAGTACAGGATTTCCTCAATGACGTTAAAGTTTTGCGCGCGTGTAAATCAGCGCCATTTTAGAGGGAAAAAGTGATTTTAGAACCGGATTTAGCGAGAATGTCGTAGTGGCGGGAACAAGTTATCAAATGTAAGAAGTTTTATCATTTTGCGATCGGGAGAGGGCTTAACCTCCTTCAGCATAAATAACCGTACTAACTTGTTTGGTGAAAAAAAGTAAAATCAAACTTTCCGGGCTACCATTTCTTTTTTGAGAACACGCGCTAAAAAACTTTAAGTTAAATCTCGTACTTGTACGCGTTCTCGCCCTCAAATCTAAAGCTCTCTATTAATTTATTTTTAACAGACAATTTTACAGTTTTGGACTGAGTATCCTAGCTTTTGAGTGAATGTGAAGCTGAGGTTGAACTTGTTTTGATTCAAACCTTCTTTGTTTTATTATGGACGTTATGCTTGAAAATACTACAAGTTAGCATAAGAACAATATGATTTACATAAGAAAGATGGAGGTATTGTATTAGAACAAGGTCAACTACAGCCAGGGGTCAATTTAATAAAACTTTTACACGTGTAATTTACAAGTGTAGCTATTGTTTTCAGATTCTAAAACAATGGCTGCACTTGTAAATTACACGGTTAAGAGTTTTATGAAGGGCCTGTTTACATGGAGGTAGGGAACCCCAGGTAGGTGAGGTAACCTGCTTATGTGAGGTAAAAAAATTAACCCTCCTTTACATGCAATCTTACAACCACGCCATCCCGGGGTGCACCTTCTCAAAATTATTGAGTGGTCGCCAAGCACGCAAACAAGAAAAATGCTGACAAACTACGTGTTTTGGCGATTAATGCACTTGTACACTCTTGCTGAAACCTTCAGTGCTGTGGCTTTCTATTGTTAACTTTGATAACAATGCAAAGCAACCGCCAAAGTGAATTTTGCGCGAATTTGATGTATCACGAATCCGACCCCGGCCAGGCGGGTTACCACACCTTGAAACGTTTACATGGCAAAATGTGACCCCGGCTGAGAGGGTGACCCGGTCTGGTAGACCGGGCTACCCGCCTTGGTGGGTCACCCCACCTATCATGTAAACGTGATCAAATTAAAATGAGAGGTTATATGGACAGGCGGGTTACCCCACCTAAGCCAGTTACCTCACCTACCTGGGGTCCCCCACCTCCATGTAAACAGGCCCTCAATTGACCCCTGGTTTCTATCTACAACAACGGGCTATTGAACACTAAACACTTTGCTGGAAATTCATTAAACCTCGCTGTAACGGCTGCCGTCGGTCAACATTCGCGGGTAACATTACACTGTTACCCTCTGATGTCATAGATTTTGCAATGTTGCCCGCTCAGAGATTTTGGCGGGAAACAGTTTCATTGTTAGATGTCATGTGGCCTCGAAATAAACAATGAGAGCGCGCTGTTGGGAAAAAATTTCCAGCTATATAACAATATTTGTTACTGAGTTAAATTACTGCAGGCTCATGATCAACGACGGCTGGTGCACACTTCACCAGCGTATCGAAATTTAAAGGATATGTTGTCGCCTAAGGAATTCTTTCTTTCGTGTCTTCGTTCCTGCAATTTCAAGAAAAATGGTTGTCATTTGTAAAAAAATTTTCTTGTTTTGTTCAAGGTGGACGTCCGCTATAACCTTCCTTCAGCCAAAGGTGAAGTCTGCAAGTTTGAAATAACGAAGCCGGAAGTTAAAGAAATCAAAGAGAAAAATTCTGGGAATCTGTTTGGCCCTGGAGGGGACCAAGCTGATGATGATGGGGATGACGCCGATGTAAAGCCAAAGAAGAAAAAGAACAAGAAACCAGATAAAAAGAGGAACAAAAAAAAGTGTAGAGGAAAGAACAAGAACAAGAAAGGGTGTAAAAATAAGAAGCCTAAAAAACCTAACAAAGGGAAAAAACCAAAGCCAACAAGAAAGCCGACAAGAAAACCACCCAAACATCAACCCGTGAAGAGCATTCACTTGAAATTTTGCACTCGGTAAGGACTCTTTCATAGGATAACCTCTCTTATCCGAAAGTATTGACCCTCGTTAGTAATGGAGAGCAAGGGATGGCGCAGTGGTGAGGGCGCTCTCCTTTCACTAATATGGCTTGTATTGTCGCCTCCGTTTATTCGTACCTGCATCCAATTCACTGCCAGAGTGGATGATGGAGTTTGTGACGTGGTTCTAACTTTTACGTCTGTGGACAAAATCCTATGGTGCCACCATTCGAATGAAATCTCTTTGGAAGTACTTTCATGTGGTGTTATTTGTTTTAAAAAATTTTACAAAATGAAATTGGGATTTTTGTCGAATTTGCCTTTGGTCGTATTTGGTAGTGAAAGGGTTAAGGCATCAGAGTGTGATAATAGCAATATTGAAACTAGAATCTTATCTTATCTTCTGTCTCCGAATCTTCCCGCCTTCAGGAAAAGAGGTCCTGACTTTATTAGCAGACCAGCGGCTATTAGTTAGAGCCTCATATTGGTTTTTAAGTAGCACTTAATCATTTATTTTTTTTTTTTCTTGTAGATATAAGGAGAGAGGAAATACAAGCATGTCTATAATTGATATTGGCATTTTAACAGGCTTCAAACCAGAACAAAAGTCTCTGCAAAAGGTAACGGTAACGATGATAGCAACCCTTTCACCCAAAGACAAAATTCTTTAAATTTTCAAATTTTTTTTTTTGTCAAATGCCGAAAAATTAATTGTACCAGATGAAAGTTTTGCTAAAGAGAATAGACCTTTTTACTGATAGGGGGGCCATATTGAATTAATTAGATTTAAGATGTATTATAGGATGCCCAGGGGGCATGAGTACGATCCGATATACTCGCTCCGTATTTACGCACGCTTTTCGGGCCAATTTTTCTCTACGTTTTCCTAGAAATAATGATCGCCTTTTCCCCGAGAAATATACAGTGAAGTTTTCTTTTTGCACAAAAAGCGAGCGTAAATACTGAGCATGTGCCCCCCGTGCACACCATAATACTCCTTAAATCTAATAAATTCAATATGGCCGCCGTATCGGTAAAAAGATCTATTAATTTAAACGGTCACACCTTTCAAGACCTCATCATTTATGGTTTAAAACGAGCTTTCGTAAGATTCTGTTAGTTTTTCCCCGGCCGTCGTGAAAATTTGCTTCACTGCGAATTTCTCTATTCTGATTGGCTGACATACTCCTTATGTATCAGCTCGTAGATAGCGGGCAAATCAGAAGCAAAAATAATGCTAGAAGTCAATTAGAAAACTGATAAGCATTCAAATGTTCGCGCCGTTTTCTCTTCTTGACTGCGGCTCCTTGATCTCTCTACTATTTAGGTGCAAGCAATCTTTCCAGCCACAAAACAATGATTTTAAACTTTTGACTGGATAACTTGACTACTGAAGAAGCAAACTCTAAGTATTTTTTTCAACACATTAAAGAAGACTTAACTTTCTCACTTCCAATGCACCTCGATTTTTTTTCTCTCCCTCCCCCCCCAAGCCCCCCATTACCCAACGCTCTGCATTGATTCGTGTCCAGGTCCCCCGTCCCGTCGGCATCGAATAAAGACACAAGATAATAAAGATCTGTGAGCAGTCAATGCTGAATTATTGCACTAAACAGCTATCGTTTCTCATCTTTTCTTACGGGAACTAATCGGTACGTGTTTGTTATTTTTATCTCACAGTTGGGGGATGATTTGCCAGAACTGGACAAGTATGAAGTGTCAGACAGATCACTCGTTTTATACCTAAGTGAGGTACGTTTCTCGTCAACAAATAACAATTGTTGGTTGTAAATATGTGTAATATACATGTTCTTCCTACCAGAGGTTATTTTTCTAATGATACCCGGAAGTTAACCGTATATCTCACTTGGAATAAGGGGTACAGCTGTATGTCTTTTCCACCATCATAGGCAGATAACGCTATCAACTGGATCATTATCTATCCAGTGAATAGTGCAATTGATTTTCCTAATACTTATCTTCTGGATAGTGATTTATCCGGTGGGTAGCACTATCCGTAGTTTCAACAACCGGGGCCTGCAGAAGTCCAACTGAGTCATCTGGCATTGATATAAAATAGTAATAGTGACTTCATGATTATACATTCGAGCATCAGTCCTATAAACGTGCTGTTAATTTATTTCAGATTCCAAATGACCGACAGCTGTGCGTGAATGTTCGGTTTGACCGGGAATATTACGTGGGTGTGGTTCAGGTGGTTCCTATTATTGTCTACGACTACTACGAACCAGGTAGAATAAATAGCTTGACTCCGCGAAATACTGAAGAACTAACAACAGATGAAACCTAAAGGATTTGTCAGGGGATTTCATTTACGTAATTACCCCAAAGGATTTTTTTAGGAAATAATTGACTGACTAATACGTACATCGCCCCTTTAGAAATGAGGAGGAAATTTGGCCGGGTTAACTTTCGAAAAAACTTCTGGGACTGGCCAATAGCTGACCAGCGGGTTCCCAGTAACTATCCCAGAGACATTTGCGGGACCCATTTCGGATCCAGTTCTCTTCTTTTTTCTAAAGTGGCGAAAGTGAGAGCTACGTACATATTTTACAAACTGGCTTAGGAATTAAGGGTTAACAAAGTGTCAAACATTGGTTTTTATATATGGTCCGTGACAGCTGTACTCTGTCAGTGTTTCATTTTTTGAGAAGCTCTTCTCAACCAAGTTTATTCCCTCAGTTAATAAGCAAAGTATTTAAAAAGGTTGTCTCAAATAAGCGCTATCAGACTTAGCCCTGAAAAAAAAAGGCCCACTTAACAAACCCGCCAGGTGGTACAGTAGATAGCTGAAATTTAGTGCGCGTAAGTGGTTTGGCGGTGAAACCGTGAGGAGAATGGGGATGAATCGCTCCCATACAATTTCCTCCATTCCTTGTAAAATTTCCTTAAAACTTTTTCTCTAAAAAACAGTCCCGTACTAAGAACCTCACAGCTTGTGTAACTGTGAGCTATTCGTCATTTGAACAATTGTGTTTGTTTTTTGTAGATGAGTCGTGTAGCGTGTTCTACGGGCCAGATAAGCACAGCCCATTGAAATTGGGCGTTTGCGACATTGGCTCTAGATCCTGTAAATGTACTCAAGGTAATGTGGGAAAATAGTTGGTTTAATCTGATGTCATCACAATTCTAAATAAAAATTTTCATTCCGTAGCCATTTTTGAAGTGCTCGGTATACCTCCAACATATGTACAGTTGGCTCCCGATAACTCGAACCCTCGGTAACTCGAACCTCCCGCTAACTTAAAGTAATTTTTGTTTCCCCTCAGATCATTTCTATATCGAGGTCAATTTTACCCTCGATAACTCGAACCATGTTTGAGCCCTTAAAAAGTCTAGGAAAAACATCGTACTGGCGTCGGAAACATTGGATTTTGAAGTTCCATTGACGTGTTGTAGACATATGGTTTACTAGTAGAGGCTGATGTTGTTTGTCTCAATTCTAACGTGAAACAACTTTACTTCTCAAAACAGTAAAACGCCTGCTCGAATTACGCTATGTTTTGTTACGTTACTTTCTGATTTATAATCTAAAAGTATCTTTCAATTTTCACCCAACATTTCTACAGTAAAATGTGATTAAAGTGTTTACTGTACAGTAAAACTGTTTTTTACCTTACTTCCGGCTATTTCCTTCTAGCTACCGATAACTCAAACTTTTTCGATTTCCCTTGAGGGTTCGAGTTATCGGGAGTCGACTGTATAAGGCGTTGTGCAATGTATTGGTTTTTAGTTTTTGTACAATGTGCTCCCCATAACTTGGTTATAACAGGTCATCGACCTTCAGCTTTTTCGCTGATGTTGTTTAGTAATAAATTTAAGCTTACCCTATGTTTGTCTTTAGTCGTTCAATCCATTATCTTTATTGTAAAACCAATGTTTTCATCACTACCCGCCCTGGCTATCATCCACTGACTCATGACGAGAAAGCCTTTTTAAGTGATATGCTATTGGCCGTTTTTATGGTAGAGATGTTACAGTCGCCTGAGATAGACCGCTTTAATGTCTAGTGTAAAAACGGCAAAAAATAAGACAGACGACATTAACCTCTTCCTTTAAGTTCGTCGTTCAGACGCACTTAACAGACGACTTTAACGTCTCAGACAATAAATGCAAGTATAAAAACGGGACGCAATAAACTGGGACACATTTATCCCCAGCTCGTCAAGAGACGACTGGGAAAAGTCAGTGTTGGAAGTCTTTTTAAGACTGTTTTGTTTTTCAATGGTATCTTTTACTTTTATGCGTCCCGTTTTTACAGCAGTTGACTGTACTGTCTTAGACGTTAAATACGTCTAGACGACTTTGACCAGTGCTTAACGTCCCTAGCATAAAAATGGGCGGTAGTGAATGTTGCAAGTAATTGTTTTTAACCTCTGTTTTGCAGACGAATGCGCTCAACACGATCCTCCTATCGGCAACATCCCCAAGCTCATCAACATGGCTTGTTTAAATTACAATTACGGTAAGATAGCCTAAGCAATAGTGCTACGACAGTGATTGCATGGGCCGAGTTAAGCAAAACCAACAAAACAGGTCAAAGGGAACAAGTCACAAGAACTCGAACCAAAGATTTTTGAGACAATTGGCTTTGTTATTTTCCTCTAGTTTCGAGAGTGACAGGGAAATTCTCGCGTGCGATGGTTTATTTCGGGAAATATGGCGCTTGAAATCATCCGAAATTCAAAGTGAACAATTTTCCGCTCACTTGAACGCTTCAATTCGCTGATCACGTTATACTGAATACGTCACAGGTGTGGAGCAACAGAGGAACCTGAAAATGGCTGACAGTAGTTTAAGTGTAAGCTGTACTCCTTCGGGGTTTGCCCTTCTTTTAAAATCACTATATAATTTCCATTTCCGTATGCTTATGGAGGTCAATATATCAACTCTACTTACTACAATGCATGTTCTTTATATTCTTATGACAGCCATAAAAGGGAAAGTTGTGCTGATCGACGAGCAGAATGCCATGCTTGCCTACGTTGTTCAAGTTGTGAAAATCATTAAGCAAGGCAACAAGGTGTTAAAGGATGGAGGCTTAATTGAGCTCTGGAAGCGCGGAGCCTGCCAGAGTCCCGACCTTAAGGAAAACAAAGAATATTTGTTTATGGGCCGTGACGAGGGGGAGAGGTATGAGCTGGACAAGACCTCGTTCGTGAAATTGTGGCCTCAAAACAAAGGCAACAAGGATAAAACAACCTTGGATGACTTTGCTGCACAGTTAGCCTGCTGAATTGAGGCTGAACACTGCAGACAGCTTGCGTGGCAGGCGTTAAAATAGGAAGGGGAAGAAGGAAGATGTAGCTTTATGTAGTTTTCTTAAATTAAAAGAAAAAATAAATATCAGTTTTGCATTAAAATGTTGAAACACTTAAACAAGCTTAATTTCTCAGACAAAACAATTCGAGGCCTGTGCACAATGGATGTTTTATAAGTAAAGTCAGAGCAATTTGCATAGATACATTCATTAACTCCCATCATGACCTGGCTTTTCGGTCCCTTTTTGTTAGAAACGGACCTTTTCTGTCTTTTAGAAAGTCAACAAACGTGCAAAGTTCTAGTCTTTGTTGTTGCTTTCGCTTTTAAATGTTAATGTTGCGCCTAGGAAACATCTCCGTTGACTATTTGATCCTTTATATTTAGAGAAAGAATGATTAATTATAATATATTCAGCTTGTGCAACGACACGTGTTTCTGTTAGTTCGCGGTACTGCTAAGGGACACTAACGTGGTAGTGTTTTCTCCGATCCTCAGCTTTCTGTATCTGGGTGAAGCGTTATCCTGGTTAACTCAAATAAAAATAACACACACCTGAATGTAGGACTTGATTATACAAATTTATTTCTCCCTCATACCTCATGATCACATTATTCACTTATATGTCCTGAATTATAATGACTTGAAATATTTGAAATGAATCTTTTTTAACTGCGGATAAAGATTTGAAAGTGAACATGATCTTTGAAGTTGAATGAGCAACTTAAGCGGTTGAAAAAGAACCTGAACTTTATTCAGGCTTGACCGGGAATCGAACCCTGAATTTTGCGATGACCAGGCGCAATGCTCTATCTATAGGGCTACATCTGGAGACCAGGCCATTTTGAGTTCGTAATATACCCGATGCTGGAAATCACATGAAATGAATCATATTTTGAATTACGGAAAAAATTTAGGAACAATTTTTTTAGGTTCTTTTTTTCATTGTCAGAACAACAGCACAGTCATAACTGACAAACAATTTTTTTTCCTATTTCGAATATTTAGTTGTAGGTGGGTAAGCATACACCTTTAGTGGCCACATACGAGAACCCGGCCATTCCTGTAAGCGGGTACGTGCAGTTACGGACACCTTTTTCGCCTCCCCAGGGTTATTCCGCTTACGAGAGCTTCCACTGTATTGTTAAAGTAATCATGTGCAGTGCAGTTTTGGGTGACCAGCGGTGATAACTTCCTGTGTGTGTTCAATATCCGTATTTGATTTCTAAAGTAAAGGAAAATTTAGCCTGTTCAGACACCTTTTTTGCTCTCTTTAAAGCGCGAGTATGAAGTTAATAATAAGAAAAATAGACACCTTTTCTGCTGTCTTTAAAGCGCGGGTATGAAAATAAATTCCCGCGTGATAAGGTTGAACGCTAGCGCAAGAGGTGCCGTTTCCTTTTTTCGCGCTTCCCGCTTGTTCTCGTGCTTTTGCCGCACTTACACCCTTGCAAAATTCCTGCAAATATTGACTTGTTTTTCTCTCAGGTTTACATGATTTGCACCTGTTCGGAACGCATGTCTTCCTGATTAGTTTAATTTCAGCACTTGTGTTCACCTAGGAGTGTGAGACGTAAGTAAGGTTGTCGTCATTATGACCTGGCAGTATGTCTACACAATACCTGATAGCTTTTCGTACCGACATGAAACGGCTACCCGCTACATTCACTTATGAACGCTCCGTCTATTTTTGCTTCCGCTACACGTTCACAGCGCGATGAAGAGTGGTAGAAACTTGGCGCGGCCGACATGTGACGATCCACTTCAAGATCGGCGGTGGACCGGTGCGAGGAGTCTCCAAGCGAACTCTCGCCAGGTTTCGCGCGCCACAATATTAAAATCCGAACGAAACTGCTTATGAACTTTAAAATGCGTAACTCGGTGATCGAAAGAAGAGGACTGAAGATTCTTCACTTTCTATGGAAATTGAAACATTGGATGATATTGTCGGATGTTGTTTTTACAGAAGATGTTCTGTTCTACTTAATGACAGCGTCTATTTACTGTCACGTTTGTTTACGAAGCTGGCGGCCACCATTTTGAAGGTTTGTAAGCTTGTATCTTCATCACTATCAGGTAGACTCCTAAAATCATAGAGCAAATTTTCTCGTCGATGCATTGTTAGTATTGATTTGGATATCGACAGCAATACCGCTCGGTTAGCGGCAAAATATTTTACAGATTTAAAGCCGTGAATTGATTATCGCAACGACTACTGTTCAAGCGACTTGAATTTCCCGCTTCGCTGAGGTCTTTGTTCTGACAAACAAAAGGTTTTCTTCTCGTTTAACAAAAGATCTCCAAAAGCCTGAGGTTTTTACTCAAATTTTTCCTTGAGAACGAAGAAGAATCAGGCGAAATAAAATACATGTACAAATTCTTGTCTCATCCATAAAATTGAAGGCGGCGTGCAAAAATACAGCTCAGTATTCTGAGCAATTTGGATAAAAACATTTTCATGACCACATCATCACATAAGATTGATAATCGCTTTCATCCCTTTAATTATTGAATGAAGCTAAGTATGCTGTGAAGAATCATGTAGATTGAGGAGAATATTATTTCGGCCGAGGTGGATTAACAGGCTTCGGGATCTGCATACTTCACATCATACGAAAGCTGAATTCAAATTAATGTTTTCGGCTATTGATTCAAAATATTTGTCCCAAGTTTTTGACAACCTTATTTTCTTCAGAACATTTGTCTGTTTCTCAGCACGGTTTCAGGATATGAACAGATATTTTTTCTTGTAGATACTCCTCAATAGGGTTTGATAGATTGTGCCAGCATAATTTGGCATGATTCGTCAGACTCGTTACTACTAGAACAATTTTCCACTATTTTCCGATAAAAGCTTTGCTGACATAATTTGCTTTTTTGGCTAGGTTTGCATATACAAAATTGTCATTTATTGATCATTCAACCAATTGTTTTGGCCCAAGATCCGTGTAACAGGTAACTTTAAGTAATAAAATAAATTTTTGGCCTGTTTATTTTCACATTTATGAGACCTGTATTTAGTAACAAAATTGTTGAGACAATGTCCTCAAATAAGTTATAACTTCGGAGAACAAAACAATGATCCCCACCTCTCCCCTTTCCCCTCCATTCAAACGGTTGGGGTGTCTATTGTTTTCTATAGGTAGCTCCAACAGCGGCACAACATTGCGTGAAGGGCGTGGAGGAAGGAAAGCTTTATTTTCTCCGCCATTTTAAGTTGGCAAAACGTCAGAGAGGCTCTTTAGGGCAGTGTCGCACTAATTTTGCCTTTCCACAGGGCTCATCGCATGCGTACAAGTCGGTTACCCAACATGGCGTAACACCAGGTCACCAACGTTAGCTATGCAAATTAATTGGAACAAAAGAAAATTTATGTACTCGAAAAAGGATTGGTTTGGTACAACAATAAGGCAGATGTGACGTTAACCCTTTAAGCCCTAAGAGTGATCAGCATAAAATTTCTCCTTGTAATATCAATGCTTTGTAAAACCGAGTGGTCATGAGAATTACGGACATGATCACAAGAGATGAATTTACTTGATATTTTATCAACTTCCCCCCACTACTTCTGTAGGAGTTAAATAGGGCAACAAATGAGAATTCAAATTTTGCTCTTAGGGTTTAAAGGGTTAACTGAAAACGTTCTGTTGGCTACCTCTTCCTAACAGGATAAGCAAGGACTGGCTAAGAATGAGGAATAAGTTCTCTGAGGGCCTAAGTTAAAGAGTACCGCAATGCTGCATTTCTACAGCCTTTTCTCTTCCTTATTTTCCTTGTTTTGTCAAATTAAGACGTATTATCTGTCTGACGCGAATTATCCAACGGATAACCCGTCTCAGACGGATAATGCGTCTCTAGTGTGAATACGGCCGATAGTTTTGTTTCACTGAACGTGTTAAAGTTTTTAAACAACACTTACATGCGAAATAGCACAACATACTTTTAGCGTGCCCAGTCAGCTTCCATACAAGTAATATCCGGATTTTTTCAGCGCTTTTTTTTATTAAGACGGATTAAGTCCTTCTACTACGTAAAACACTTATCTTTTGTGCCATATCGCACATTTTCAATATTCCGTTCGTGGATTTGTGATGTCGTTGCTAACAAATTAAAGTCGCGCGAAATGAGTTTTATCAGCGCTCGTGGCCCAAATGAGGCCCTTTCTTCTCTTATTCAGAGCTATTCAATTAAATGCTTGTGCATTTGACTTTGCCGCTCCGGCGTTGTTCATGATAACTATTATGATGTCCACTCATTTTGCGCGATGTCTACGTCCATGCTCAGGTAGAAATTAAACAGTCTCCGCTGAGATTTTTTTGAAAAACCTCTTAAGCATAGAAAAACCTTTTATTTAATTTAGCGTTTCCTCAACACGTTTTAATATGACGTTAAGCTGTATAACGTTTCGCCCTTGACCTCTGAGTCAAGGATCTGCCAGTAATTGGCGAAAATTTCTTGGCAAGTAAACAGGAAGTTTTTAAAACTTTACTAGTTTTTTTATTCCCTATATCTTATGACTCGCTTCAGCGATAACGCCTTTCTTGTATCTGTGACGCCACTTAACCCTTTAAACCCTAGGATCAAAAATTGAATTCTCATTTGTTGCCCTAATTCATTTCCTACAGAAGTAGTGGAGAGAAGTTGATAAAATATCAATCAAATTCATCTTTTGTGATCATGTCCGTAATTCTCATGACAACTTTGTTTTACAAAGCATTAATATTACAAGGAGAAATTTGATGCTGATCACTTTTAGGGCTTAAAGGGTTAAGGCTGAATGTTCGAACACGTTTAAGGAAAATAATAATCATTTGATCCCCAAAGCCTTGCTGTGAGCATGGCAAAGCGCCTTGGTACAATGTTACGATCTATTCTGTTCTTACTTGCTATAGGATGCATATCAGCGAAAAAGTAAGTAACAAGTATAACTAAATCTATAAAACGCGTTGTGAAATTTGCAGTTCAGTTATATTAGACGGCGAGGTTAGCGCGATCGAGCGCATTATTTAGGCGCAAACATAAAGAAGGAAAGGCAGGTGAAACTTCAACTTCAACTTCAACTTTAATACCGTGACTGTCGAGCAAAGCGATAAGTGCTGAATTGGAAAATAGCTAACTGATTTAGAGGTGCTATTCTTCGATTTAGCCCTACGCAGATTTCCTCCAATTTTACTATTCTGCGGAAGTAAACGTATATTAAAGACAAGTCTGCGATTTTACGATTTTTCCGATTCTACTATTCTACGACAGTCACTGTAGTGTGCTATTGTCCGATTCTATCCAAACGCTACAGTAACAAGTCACCGACTGTACAATTCTTCCTTTTTTCCGATTCTAGCCCTCTGCTATGTACTCTACCACTTTAGTGTGCTATTGTCCAATGTAGTAAATATCCCTTATGGTAACAAGCCTCCGATTGTACGATTCTCCGATTTTTTCTGGAGCACGTTTGTTTCCGTTTATGGCTTTATGGGAGTCCAGAAGAAGAATTTTCCCGCTAAGTGCGTCAAAAAAGTGCCGAGCAAATTAAAGATCCGCGATTGATTTCGGCGAGTGACGGAGATGCCGGTTATTTTCCTAAATCAGATGTAATGCATGACTTGAAATTTAGAGGTCTCTAAATAAATCCTGGCTTCTTTGAATCTACGCACGACTGACTCCAAAAAAATCAACAACGGTAACAATAATATCATAGGAACATGCGCTCGATCATGATCCTAGTAACTATCATTTTGGTGGAAGCTCCGGTTTTGTAATTTAGAATATGATAAGAAGGTTTCATCATCCATCTGGTATGAATTTATATCATTTATTAAAACCGATAACTCTGCGTACAGTATTGGTGTATTCAAGGTTACTATACCTCTCTTCCATTTTGCCATAAAAAGGCCTACCGTTCTACTTTACTCAGTTCTCTCCCTTCTTTCAATTGCACGATTATTACACGCAGCAACGACGACGGCGACCGAGCGAGAACGTCAAACAGCAATAGGAATAAGTAAAGCATTGTACATTTTTTGCCGTCACTGCACGACGACAACGAGAATTATTCTCATGCAACGTTTTATGGTGAACGACAAGACGTCAATGAATTTTCTTTTCACCTTCTAAAGTTGGGTTCGGTCTCCCTAACGCTGGGCGCTCTTGCATCCAAGACGCCTGGGTCGCAGGCCACAAAAAGATCAAGTTACTTCGACAAACCAGTAGACTGAAGTGTAATCATCTTGCCGTGAACAATCTTTGAAAAGCGTTTCTTCTTTGCAGGTATGCAATCATGGCTCCGAATGTGTTCCATATTGGGGTCACGGAACAAGTGTCCATTGCGGTATTTGATGCCGGGAACCCTGTGAATGTAAAGCTGTATCTGCAGGACTACCCACACAGACGAAAGACATTTTCCCAAGTACAGGGACGTGTAGGTCAAGGTAATAAATACTAATAAGTTGTATATCATGTTTGAGCTGTTATCTAATAAGCGAGAGGGACTGATTAGGGACTTTTAGATGCCACGATGGTGACGACTACTAGAACTGGGTGAATAAGCAAAACATCAACTCTGCACGTGCATCATGCTTCTTTGTACATTTCTTAACCGTCACTGTGCGACTACGACGGGGAAATGCCTATTCACGTTTTATGGACGACGTAAACAAGCCACGGCTAAATTTTCTTTCTCTTTCTGAACTTGAATATGGCTCTTAGGAATTCGGCTAAAAAAGAGTTCGCATGCCGACAAAGTAAACGAGTTCGAGAAATCACGATAGAGATTGAAAGAACGCAAATTCACTTTTTAAGCGACGTTTCCGCGGCCGTCGCCGTCGCCGTCACCTTCGTGGTATCTTAAACTCCCTATTAATTAAGTGGAAAACAGTCGCGGCCAGCGAGCGAAGTATCGCTACTATAAAGGGGGCTGAGTTACGAAAGTTTATCAAATTTACATCAATAGGTTATGTATTGGTGACACATTTCAGGGGCGGATCTAGGGGGAGGGTGCAGAGGGTGCGCACCCCCACCCCCCTGAGATGACCCGCGGTTTTCTAATACAACTGGTATTCTGCACATAAAAAAAAACTATGTGGTTTATTGGTGTTGAAGTAGAGCAAGAGACGAGTGCACCCCCTCCTAAAAAAAATCCCGGATCCGCCCCTGCATTTTTTTCCAAGTCTACTATATCCATGATGGAATCGAAATTTTTTAAAAAAATTAGGTTTTTTGGTAGGGACGAAAAAAAGTGGTTACCTAGGAAAGTAGTCTTTAGGAGAAGGTCCGAGAACAGGCGACAACAAATTCAACTCAGTTCGTGAGTATGAAAGAATGAAACAAGAATCGAACCCAAGGTAGCTAGAAGTGAGGCCAGATTTCTAACGCCTTCCTAAGATGATAAAGATATATCTAAACTATTATGTGATTATTTTTGTATATCTTAGCTTCAGAGGTCCAAAAATGGGCCGCAATGTCCTGGGGCAATCTAAAACTTAGGTCACGTTACCATAATTGTATCATATTTTTCCTTATTAAATCTAATGCTTAAAGGACTTATTTTGTTCTTTGTTTTTGTTTCGGGTTTTGTTTTTATTTCTTAGGGAGCAACATCTTTCTTCCAGTAAAGGTAAATACTGAGGCACGGTCATGATCATTAGCTATTATTTGAACTTAACCAAGATGATGGTTGAGGCAGAATTAATTAAAAATTAATGAATGAGGCTGAGTGTCTTATGAAGAATTATGGAGATCTCGGAGGGTGTTATCCGTCGAGGCCGCATAACCCCCTCCGAGATCTCCATAATTCTTCATATGATACGAAGGCCGAATTCAATAACTGTTTTATTATTCATTCAAAATAATTCCTAGTTGAAAAACATAGCTGAAACAAGCTTACCTATACATCGATGTTAAGTTTATCTTCGATAGTTTACGTTTAGGTTTGTCCAGCTCCGCAAATATTCTCCAAATAGCAGATGTCGCCCTCCGAGTTGTCTTCTTGCTGTTTTTGCTATGTTTTGGCCATTATTTCGCTTAGTTCCAGCTGTAGTTCTTACTCTTGAAACGAGTGAAGTGTCCGCCATTTAAGTTTTTACAACGAAAACACCCCAGGTCTTCTTGGTTAACGGTGCATTAACTTGTACAAGGCTGCATTTTTGACGTAATTTCCCCGTTAAAGATAAAATTCATCTAAATTTGGTCATCAGTAACTGGTAATGGTGAATTATGCGCGTGCTTTTAGCCAATCAGAATTGGGGAAATGTTTTGAATGAATAATAATGTGATTTACTTTCCCCTGTCCTAGTGACTACTTACAAAAGAACGCTGAAACCTTGCTATATATACTTAAAGTAACCAGAAAGCAACGGATCATTGAGAATTAAATTGTATCCTGCTTTTTGAGCACTCTCGACCTATCACTATACTAGTAAAAATGAATTAAATAATTTAAATAAGTTTACATACAAAATCTTTTATTTCAGTGGCCCCGGCCGAGGAGCCTTTGGCTTGTAAGCTATTACGCAAAGACACTATCCCCATTTCATCTTTCCAAGAGTCTTGAAAGACAAAACTGATATTTTCTGTACATTTTGTAATTTTTGAATTTTTAGTGTCATCCGAACATATTCGTGTAACCAGAATCAATGTCCACATTTTCTGTATGGCTGAATCCGCGACGGGCAAGATGAAGCGAATCCTACTTTCTGATTGGCTACCTGAGCAAGAAGGGCCCATCTTACCCTCTCAGAAATTCCCGCATTGGCCTTGCAATAAAAAGTTCTCTTTTTTGGCTATGTAATATATCCTTTATTAACCAATCGCAAGCTTGTTAGGCCAAGATGGCTGGATATTAGCCTCATTCTTTTCTGCGTTTTTATAGACCGCGACTTCGTCTATGCCCATAAAAACGCCGCAAAAAAGAACAAGGCCAATATCCAGCCATCTTGAACTCACGCTTGATCAGTAACGCTTATTTATTATACATTGGACTCATTAGCGCTCTTCTCATTGGCTAAGAGCCTACAGCTATGCCAAAAAAATTTTTGAAATCAGCGCAACCTACGGATTAGTTAGTTATCTGCTAGCAGATGACTGACTAATCTGTAGGTTGCACTCGCAATGCATGATTTCCAATGGCAATCAATTCAGGTTCTTTGCGACGGTATGTTTGTCGTTATTTTCTTCAAAACGATGCATAATAAAAGAATTATTAGATTCGTTTTTTGTGATATCCTGAATAATCAAGGTCCCCGGCTCGGCTGATAACACTTACAGAGGCCTTGATTATTCTGGATATCACAAAAACCGCATCCAAAAGTAATTGTTTAATATCACCTGACATCACTGATCTGCCGTTGACAGACTATTGATATTATATCTCATATTTTTCCAGGTTGAACCACAGGATCTGCCGGACATCAACTCAGTGAACAAACAATACGTTTATCTAGTGGCCAAGTCAGATGATGGCCATTTCCAGTTTCACAAGGAAGCCAAGATCCTTCTTAGCTACAGAGACAGGATGGTGTTCATAGAAACGGACAAACCAGTCTACACTCCCCGACAAAGAGGTAAGAAACTCAGACTTACGTTCGGTAAAAGTCATCAGAATTCACCAGCATAGAAACAAGCATAATCACAGCCATCACACAATTTGATGAAACCGATTATTTAAACAAGAATATACATAATCAGCAAAGACCTCAAAAGAAGAGGGATAGTAGAAAAGAATGAAAAACGACAAAAATGAAAGAACAAGAAAGGCAAGACAGGAAAAATCGACAAGAAGTAAAAAAAGTATAAGATCCGGAATACTTTTGATAGCAGTTAAGACAAAGCCTGTGAATTTAACAAACTGGATCCTAGTCACTTAAGTTGTAAGTTTTTGTTACTTCTCTTTTGGACCTGACCGTGCACAACGTTCAAAAGCATTCCTATCATTTTGAAGTTACTGACCAATAGAAACATCGCATTGATTTATTCAGTCACAATTTGTTAACGAAAAACAAAGGTCAGGATTGTGCACGGTCAGGGAGCTTCCAACATAAACTTAACAGCACCTTGTATAAACCTTGATGTTTGCCGGCTTTCATAAACCAGCCTCCTCTGCTGACTATGCCTGGATTGGTCTTTTCTTCTTTTCTTTGCAGTGAAAATCCGAGTATTTCCGCTAGAGTTTGATATGAGGCCTTCTACCAAAAAAGTGAGTCGAATTTGCTGTTAATTCACGATTTTTTTTTTTTTTACTCTGACAAACTCGAGTTCTAACGATTTGTTTTTGTTTGTTTGTTTGTTTGTTTTTTTCAAAACAGATAACCGTTATGGTTCTGGTAAGTCTCGTCTCTTTTTGTTCCTGCTTATAGGAACTGAGCCTGATCCCGGTCAGCAGGAATGGATGCCTTACCATGTTGGCCGGGCTCTGTCTTGCCTAATAAAATTTTCTATGTATTTATAAGAGAAGGTGGCCTGATGTACTTTCCGAGATTTCGGTAGCTTTCACCAGATATTCATGTAATCATCAAGACGATAAGATTTTTGGAAGTTTCTAATGTTTCCTTTTGACATAATACCGTAAACTGCTGCTTTAAGTTTTCTCCCACCTCCCTAGTAATAGGCCCATCTACTTGTAAACAAAAAAGGCACACATCCGATTATAACCCTGCCGGATATTAGCCTTCCCCCAACCCCTCCAAATGTATCAAAATAAATTCGATTAGTCCTTCGTTGTATTGTGACGTTTTAAAGCTTAATTTTTTGAAAACCAGTAAATACAAACATAATTATTATGATCAGCATTACTAGAGCTTGTTTCGAAGCACTCTTCCTTTCCCGGTTATAAACCCCCTTGGATAATAGCCCCACCCTTTACAAACCCTTCTAAAACCCCTTACGAAGATGTATAAGCCCAGGGCTTATAATCAGCAGTTTACGGCATGTGGTTAAGACGTCTTTACACTATTAAAATTCTGACATGACCTAGGCCAAAGTTTTCTTCTGTGTACCGCCATGCCACTCTAACTACAGTAACTACTACTTACTAAAATGTTAGTATTCATTCAAAATATTTTTCCGTTTGTGATTTACTCAAATCCTACGGATAATTCATCATAACCGGCTTCGGAGGAAATTTGTTATAATTGCAAAATGACGTCAATGCTATACAGCATAATTACCAGAAAACTGGACGGTTAACCCAGAAGACCTGGCGACGAGGTTGAGTTGTTATGGTAGGGAGTACAAAATGGCGGAATATTGCACTCGTTTCGCGAGGAAGAAATAGGGAAACTACTGGCTAAAAACATAGCCAGAACAGCAAGAATACAACTCGATGGACGTCATCTATTATTTGGAGAATATCTGCAGAACTAAACATCCCTTTATCTCCTAAACTTGTCGATAAACAGGCTTTAACATGAACTTAACATTGATGGAGGTAAGCATATCTTGTTTATAAACTAGGAATTATTTTGAAGGGTGTTATCCGCCTCGACCTGATAAAACCCTCCTAGATTTCCATAATTCTTCAGATGATACTTAGCCTCATCCAATAATTGTTAAATGTTTCAGTATTCGTTTTCGTTACGTTTGTTTTTCTTTCCTTTCAGAATCCACAGGGAATTAGAGTACAGCAGTGGAAGGACCTGGACACTGGTACAGGTATGTTTCAGTTCTTCTTAAGTTGACTTAAGCATTAATTTGATTTCATTATATATCTGTTCCATTTTTCCATAAGGAATCATAACGAGAAGGCTGGATCTGAATGATTTGGGTCTCATGGGTACCTGGACTATAACAGCCGTATATGGCCATCAGGTATTTGCAATGTATTTCTACCTTTGAGCACTTAAGGTGATTCCCTAGTAAAAGAACCTAACATAGATTGTAGATGAAACTTGGTACACTGATGTAACAAGTCTAGAAGATGATAAAAAAGTAATAAAAAGAGGGGGTCACCGTGCTCGTTTTGACGTCGCAATGCTGAGAAATACGGCTATTTTGGACCCTTTGTCAAAAACCGCGCGCAGCCCAAAACTAGACAAAAACGAGAGATTTTTTCGATGATGCATGTGGTATCGCACAGAATTTGACTTTATTGTATTGTTTATCCACTTAAATACCTTTTAATGCTCCTGTTTTTATTTTACGCTCCAAAGTAGAATTGAATTGGACACGCGCTATTCGACCCGTGATAGCTCAATCCGTACAATTTAGTAAAATTGCCAAAAAACTGAACATAGATTTGGGCCAATTTTTTTCTCATCGAAAGAAAGCACTGTCCTTATTAAAATCATGAAATAAAAGATGGGGGACCGGGTCACCGTACTCGTTTTTGCGGTAGAGCTGCAGAAAAGTGCGCACCAAATGCATTTTCTCCGAGTTTTGAGAGAGGACTGGGACGAGTTTCAAAATAGAATGTATGTGAAAGAGGGAAGAAAGTATACAGAATTTACATCGAGATATCACATTTAGGATACAATAAGATAAAGAAAGCGTTTAAATAAAAATCAAAGTGAGTAAGCACAAGTTAAACATCCACTATCGAGGTTCTCTGTGAGGAAGTCGAACTCAGCAACACGCGTACTGCCTACGTTATGCACATTCCCAACACATTGAGTCTCACCTCGGCAAGAAACAACCGCAAGCAAAAATTCCAATAGCGTTTCTCTTCATTCAACTTCATTTTAATAATGTTACTTCACATGCTCTGTTTTACGGCGGCCATCTTGTTATGCGCAGTAAGAGATGCGCAGTGCAAAACCAGGGAATCACCTTAATTACACAGGTAACAGACAGCTCTTTCTAAGACGGACTCTGTTGGGACCGGCACAGAGCGTGATTGTCTTTAAGGGAGAAATCTGCCAATAGACCGTTTTCACATGATGTCATGATGGCCACCATATTTAGAGGGAGCCTAAGCAGCCATGACGACGACGCCTATTTCCCTTTCGTAAATGGTATTTGCCATTTTTAACGGTCGATGCCACCATTAGTAACCAGGCCTTAAATCATGATAGATGGATTAAGTTACAATAAGGCAAATTGCTGGTTTCCAGTGTCACGCGGCATTCGAAATAGATCAAAATAAAATCAAAACCGTTCGATAGATAAAGTCCAGAATCTAAGAAATAAAAGAAGGTACATATACAAAGACCCTCGCCAAGATTCAGGTCAGAGAAATATTTCGTATACCAGATATCCGAAGAAATGTTTTACCCAAACTTATAGAGATTTGTATGGAGACGCCATGCTGGTGCTCACCTGGATGAGCTCCAACATGACGGACGGAAACCAACAGAAATATCTGTTACCGAGTTTTGCTACAAAAGCGTGAATTTTTTGTTCGAGAAACTCATAAATATTAAAGTAATACTTTTTCTAATACATGAACTATTTAGTTAGCAAAAATTTCCTGAAATAAGTCATTTTTTTAACCTACATGACAGCTCTCTTGCCCGTCATGTAAAGACCGCGTCACGCAAAAGATTAGAAATTCAAGCGTACTCTATCACAAAACCAAAAACTCTTTTAAAGCCAAAATTTGTACGAAAATTAGTTTTCAGCTGCTCTAATGCATCGTGAATGTAAAATCTAGGTAGGATCAATAGTTTTTTAGTTTGAATTTTTGTCACGTCATGTGAAAACCAACAATAGTACGTTTTTGGATACGGTTAGAAAGAACGACTTTGAAGCCCAAAAAAGCGCTAGGGTCACTTGTTATAGATGTAACAGTTAAGAAAGACAGTTTGCAAGTGTACTTACTTAAAATTTAAGAATTTTGGATTGTCGGTGTGGTAGAGAGATTAGGGTACGAAAGATCCCGGTTCGAGGTCCGGGTTTGACACTGGGTTGCGATTTTCTTTCTTTACTAGGAACACTCTCAATAACAATTCCAAAATTTTCTAATTGTCTTAAAAATGGCGGCGACCGATCACGAAAGGGCCAACTGTGATGACGACAGTAACGAGACCTTCTGTTTCTGTTACGTCTTTTTCTTACAATATTATGATTTCTGTATTGAAGGATATTCACAATTCCTCTGTGCAGTTCGAAGTGAAGGAGTACGGTAAGATAACTTTCTTCCAATTTTTGTTCATTTTTATTGCAGTTATCTGTAAATTTAAGCTGTTCAAATTTCATTTCTTTCAGTTCTTCCCAAGTTCTCGGTGAAATTGAATGTGCCACCTTACATCCTCAAAACGGATACCCAGATAGGAATAAACATAACAGCAAGGTAGAATTGGCGCGTCATGAAATACCAATGTCTGAGTACATGATTCTGGTAGTTTTGTGTTTTTAGTTCTCTTGCCTAATCTTGCAAAATTCCGTTTAATTTTCATCTAAGTCAAGGAAAATTGTAATTTGTGATGTTTTTCATTGAAACAGAACTCGATTGTCAGGGGCACCCAACGACCGAATGTTACCAAATATGCCTGAAGTGTCTGGTTGATTTGGGGCTGCTCTAAAAACTGTTTATCTGCTTGGATGTCTTAGGAGAATTTGAGTCGTCTCGAAGTTTGTACGTGGCTTTTTCGTAACCGTTAGCTATCCTGATGGGTCCGGTCGAAAGTTCGAGGTCATGGAGTAGCCGTACTTTCATTAGAAGATTTTTTATCAGAACATAACGGTGCTTGTATCTCCCCACCAGTTTGCACTAACAGCCTGCTTTATGGCAAAGGGGCTTTTTTCATCTATTGTTTTCTGAATATGTCAACCAACTGCAATCTTGTAATTTCAAAAAATTGTGAGGTCCACTCCTCTTCACTGTGAGCTACTATTGTTTTCTTTGTTACTTTGTCGTTTTGATGTGTCCATACGTATGTTTTCTAAATCATTCAAGCCTCAATCATCATCCATGAACTACATATCATTTCTCTAACACCGGCTTGTTTTTTTAAAGGCACGTTTATGGAAAGCCCGTTATCGGCACTGCAGTTGTGTACTTGAGCATGGTCGGACGAAATGGAAAGAACGTGCCTTTCGCTAAACATGCAATCTTGGTAAGTCAATATTTTTAGGACGAGGTTTACCTTCAAGAAACCGACAAATCATGAAAATCAGCTTCTCAATGGTGGTCTTATCATTCAACAAGTTTGGTTGCTTTGTTTAGTAGAATTTTATTTATTCTTGGCGTAAATGAAATTGTCACGGGTTGTTCAAATTGTTAAAATTACACAATTTACAATGCATTTTCGTCACTAAGCAATGCTTGACTTATTCTGAAAGTACTTGCAAAGCACACAAGAACTTCACGCGCTCATTCAGAGATGCAAGTAGTATAGCAGAAACCGTTTAGGCGATTTTTTATGTGGTGAAACCCTATTAACTTGCGGTGGAACAATATTAACGTCGATAAGTTCATAGCCATCCTTTACAAGCTCCACATTTCTATTGTCATTCCACCACCACCACCACCACATTTCTTTTTTTTTCCTGCACCACCACAACCTTCATCACAGACGCCAAATATTTTTCTTGGTTCCGGGTCACTGATTCTTGGCGCGCAAATTATGCATAGGACGTTGGGTGGGTGCAAGCAAACCAATACTTAACTTAACACCTGCAAATTTTAACTGAAATGTCTATATGTCGACCTTTACCAAGAACTAATAATGGAACTTTATTATCTTTTTTCTTGTCTCCCGAGCGGTGGCAGTGGAATATCTCTAACACTTTGTACACTTGTTTACAGTTGACCGCCAACATAGGGAACAAACTGCGGTACCAGAATAGGCAGCACACCGGTTCAAGGCCAATCAAAAAATGAGAAAAAAACTAATGATCATTTCAATGGGACTTCACTGCAGTGTTCTTTTATTTCATTAGTATACAGTGAATATTGTCACTTGAGTGTAACAAAGTCAAAGGTTTTCTTGTTCCCTTCGGTGATCAGTTGTTAAAAAGCCTGAATTTAATTCTACCCTGTGTCCGGCCTTTCTGTATGTTCCCCTTATTTTCCTAGCCTAGGACAGCGTTTACCCTCAGAATATGAAGCGGAAGGTCTTGATCCTTTTATGAATTACATCTGTTCATCTTCATTTTCTTGTATTTTTATTTCGTCACCCTTCATTAATAAAATGAAGAGAGTATTTTTGAACTTTTAGCTAACCTTTGTTAAGACTGTTCCGCATCGTTCTCTTCTCGCTTATGGCGCCTCGGAATTTGGAGAATCTGTACATTTCCCCCTTTGGATGATAAAGAGGGCTCCAGAGCTCTCCTTTCAGTGAAATATTTGCACTTTCAGTAAATTACGCCTTTCCCCATTGCACCAAAGAATAAAGGATTGATAAGGGAAGAGAAACAGTCATATGTTAAAATATTCTGATATTCTTTTTTATTATCATAACTTATTAAATGTAGCTCGATAAGAGTGGTGTAACGACCCTGACAGAGCAACTTCAGAGCATCCGGGACCTTCCAGGGAATTTGTGGTTTCCAGACAACAGCCGACTTCAAGTTCAGGCTGACGTCATCGCGAGGGCGACGGGCAATAAAGAAACTGCAGTGGATAAATCATGCCAGTTTATATCAAGCCCTTACCTTATTAAGTTTAAGAACACGGGGAAATATTTTAAACCAGGACTTCCTTTTGCAGCGAAGGTATGATCGAGCTGCCAAAATAAACTAGTAACGAATTTGAAATTCAAAAACAAACCAAAAAAATGATAAAGGAATTTGGCACTGATTTTAAAGAAATCTGTTAAGTTAGCTGCCAAAACGCTTGAAGTGTTCTATGCATATAAAAGTGGCATAGAAAAGGCAGCCTTTAATCCAGAACATTTTCCTAGACAAAGGAATCTAAAGAACTTTGGCCAAAAAGTTGCATTGCAGTAACTGAACTTTTGACTGAGTATTTTACTTCTGAAATCAGCCCCAAGAGGTCTTGGAGATATCCAACAGCTAACTTCTGACAAACTCTGTAGGCGTTAGCAGCTATCGTAAATGATCTAATGGACGCCCAGGGCGTATTCTAGGGGAACCAAGAAGGGGTCGTTTTAAAGACAGGAGGATTTTGTTCTAATAACTGATATTATCGACCAAAATATCTTCACATTTCACAAATTTTGACTTTCCAGTCCATCCATTGATACGTCTAGGCCGTTTAGAGATCCACATCGTGTTTTTGTAAAGCTCAACTCTGATGTCACAATCCCGCTTACTTTGAACTTGACTTTGAACATGATGCAATGTGCAGACTCTTGTTAATCAAACAAGAAACTGAATAAATTCCGATAGGGGCAGAATAAAAAATAAATATTTTATTTGAATGATTAATTGTTAACAAACCCCAGACCAACCTCCATTCAGGGGACACCTCTGTTTAGGGGGCACTTTTCTTGGTCCCAAGGGTGTCCTCTGAAGAGAGGTTCCACTGTAGCTTTAAATAATTTTTCTTAAGCAGTAAGCAATTTTGTGACTTTTTTTTTAAGGTTGTCGTAACCTACCCTGATAAACAACCAGCCAAGAATGTACCTTTGTTGATATCGGCTCATGGAAGGAAAGGATTTGTTAGGATACAGCTCAGGACAATTAACAGATACGCAAGAGGGTTTACGGATGAACATGGGGAAGTCGAATTTATTATAGATGCCTGTTCAAACTGCGACTCTATTTCTATTCAGGTAGAAAAATACTGTTCGTCGTGAAGCCGGATTGGGCACTTGTTGATATTGTGTCATAATCCTTGTCACCTGGATATTTTCGGCGTTTAGAATATAATATTAGTTGCATTCAACGTTAGGTGAACACAACTCCTTATCTAGGGCATTCTGTGGTTTTTTGGGTGTCCCGCGGTGATAGGTGGTGACCTTTAATAAGTAGCTAAAAGTGTGCACGTTTTTCGTCCTTCGTCTGCGTTTTCACTGTCATCTTGAATTGCAGCTCAAAAAGCTCACAAACAGCAAGCTTATCTTCTTTTTTTTCGAAACAGAAGTTTAACCATTACACCCAAGATATCGATATTGCACAAGTACAGATTCTTGACCGAGGGATAATCAAACCGGTGTGAGCAACAAATAAAAACAGAGTTTTGCACCAGTGTTTATTGACGTTTGACAACTTTCCGGTATTCTTGTCGGTGCAAGAACTATCCGTTATAGTATGAACACAGTATTATATTTCTTGTAATAGTAATTACGTTTTTCATATTATTTTATTTATAGGTGAAAACCGATAATGTCAAACTGGGAGTTTCTCAGAACGCGTTCGCCAATTACTTGGTGAGGCCGTTTGATGCTGGTGGAGGACCTCTGATCATGGTTCGCCAGCTTACACCAGGAAAGGTATGGTGTACCATTGTATCATAATTTGTCCAAAATGTATTGATTTGTGCAGAGTTCGTGTTCACTTGAACATTTTAGTGAAACGCGCAATACACGCAAAAAACAAACAAGCTACTCATGATCAGCTTGTCGCGATTTATAAACGAAGAATTTTTTGCTCATTTATATGTTGAAAATACAATGCTCTGACAATATTTCATTTGCTTTCATTTTCAATATGGAGGGTTAATTAGTAACTTCAAAAGTTTATACCGTAGAATTACGTTAATAAAGGGTCCCCCGAAAATAACGGCTACCCGAAAGTAACGTTAATTTTTTACCTTGCTATTAAACCCCGAAAGTAACGCCCCCCCGCCCCCGATAATGGCAGCCCCTGAAAAGACCTGAAAATGACCACTCAAAAAAATATAATTTTTGTACCGTTAATGTAACATTTCAAGAGGGTCGGTATGTGGTTACAAATACAAGTAGGTAGTGGGTTGAATAATATGTTCCTATTTAATTTACAACAAATGCCACACAATGTTTTCATATTTTAGTGGTGTACCGTATTTTCATAAACATAGGATACGGGTAACATAGTAAGTAAAACGCCTAAAAACAGATATTAAAGCTGTAAGTGTCATCACAGTTGTCATATAATACGAACAATATTTTCGACGTATAGTATACGAACATTTGAGCCTTTCTTGTTACAGTTGATTTTGTTTACATGGATAATGAATACCGTAACCAGCATGCAACCTAAATGACCTTTTTTATGGTTGTATGCGTCCTCTTTGTGTAAAACCCCTGCTTAGTTACAAACGTTTTCTAACCATTCGAAAGGAACGGCTACCCGAAATTAACGGCCCCCTTGGCCTGCTAAATCCGAAAGTAACGGTGGCCGCTATTATCGGAATCCCACGGTATTTTATATATTTGATAACTGTATTTTTCTGGCTATAATAGTACTACTACAAATCATAATAATAATCTGAGTAAAATCATGTAGAAGACCATCTTCGTTTTGCTGTCTGTAAACATAAGGTTGTTAGCAGTTCCCTTCAGACAAACCAAGCTAAACCAGCGAGTCCGATCTATTGCTACAGTAGTCCCTTGCTCCTGGATAGTGTTTTACGATACAGAGTAAGTGTATCCCCGATTAATGTTAGCCAGGAGTTCAATGAAACTAATAAATAAACCAAAATTAAATAAATTAAACCGTAGCTTGAAAACTTTTAAACGTGTGATTGATTCACAGGTTGGGCGCAAAGTATTTTGTGAAAGTTATAGAACTGTCAACCGTGGTGGTGCTAAAATCGGACTTTCTTTTGCGGTAGGAGCATAAACAAGATCCTGTGTAGCAGTCTTTTCCTTTTCTTTTTCGCCAAGTGGGAGAAGTGCACGGGACGCGTGAAGAAATGAGCGAAAACAGAAGTGGGGTGGGGAGGAGGGGAAGGGCACCCTTACCGTTCTCGTATTTTTTTGTGTTCCTTTTGGCCCAATGCTCTCACGCGTCGTTCGCGTGCTCCGCTTGGCTCAAAGGAATTGGAAATTACTGCTACGTACAAATATTATTGTTATGTATCACGATAATCATATTGTGATTTCGTTGACTGAATTGCAGGTGTTCCCTTAAACATAATGATATGTTACGAGGGAGCTTTTAGCAACGTCGACAAAATAAAACTTTTTATTAAATACAAACTTTGTCTTGACGATTTCCCCTTGCTTAGAATTTCAAATGTTGGTGAACTTCCTTGGAGCGTAATTCTTGGGGATCAAACCCAAGTTTAGAAGGAGAAAGAGAATTCGTCGTCGTGTGTTGACACGTCCTTCACAAAAGGTTGCATTAGGAAACTTCACGCAAAGAAATGAATGCCAACGGGCAGTGCCACACTTACAGAGTTGTTGTCTTGCTAGTTCAACCTATTGCTTTTTGGACGAGCTCCCTTAATTAATTATAGGTCAAGTGAGCAAACAATCACCTCATCAGAGATACGAACAGTACCTGCTACGGTCATCGCTACTACTCAGATACTGCTAAGCTATTTAGAAAATTGTACCACCAGATGTGTACTTATCATCAGCTTTTATTTCAAAATACTTGGCTGTCTCCTCATGTCTTGTAATCCGGATTCCAGAATCAGGGAAATTTTTACTTGCTGGCATCCTGGCATCCGGAATCCCGCTAACAATTGGAATCTGGAATCGAAGTTTCACTGACAAGGAATCCAGAATCCATTGTGTGGAATCCAGAATCCAATGCTCTCTTGGATTGCGTTACATGGAGCAATACGTTTTTAAATACTTGTGTTTTGTAACATTTTTGTAACTTACTCTCAGGGAAACCTCTATAAGGTGGACAGCCCTTCCGCAAACGGACAGTTGATGTTGGTCCGCTGCTTTTCTTCATGCCTTTTCTTGTACGAACCCCTTTTTAAGACAGACACTTGGGGCGCGATCCATTCAACCAAAATTTCCGGAAATCTCGGTCCAAAACTCAATGGATCGGTTCGGTCCAACCGGAAAAGTTTCGAAAAAACGGGTCCAGCTTTTGAGGTGGACCAATTTTCCCGGTCGGACCGGTTGGAATTTTGGTTGAATGGATCGCACCCGTGATGCCACTTCTGGAGGTGTCCGTCTTAAGAGAGAGTTGACTATCAATCGTAGCCTTTCTCAAGGTCAAAAAGAGAGCCTCCCTATATTTTTCAATATCCGTAATAATCATTATGATTGGTTAAGTTTTTATATTCCTCGTTCCACAAACGTGTGAACAAATTGGTGTCGTCATTGTCAATGATTCGACTCCTTACCAGTCTTCACCTCATTCTTCGAATGTTGTTGTTTCTTTCTTTCCAGGTGGTATCTCGAGGTAGGATTCTCTCACACAACACAACTGATCCATTTGATGGGATAATCAGAAGCTGGTCCTTTCGTGTAACTCCACAAATGTCTCCATCAGCGCGTCTGATTGGTTATTACATTGATAACAATGGAAGAGTCGTAGTTGACAGCATTTTGCTCGATATTGAAGACAGTCTTCCAACTGAGGTTATAAAAGCATTTGCATATGCGATAGAAACATAGCCACATTTACCGGCGATAACAGAAACATTTGGCACGGCACCACTAAAAACGGATACAGGACCACCTTTTCACACGACCCCGGTACCCCTAGATTTGTGTGCACCCATGCCCAACACAATTTACATTTGCACGCCGCAAAAAATAAGGGTTGCCGGGCCAAACATTGACAGGCACACGTGTCAAATTTTAGGGTTGTTGTGCCTCAAACTCTTGCTCGCTGTGCCTTAAACCGGGTTCTACTGTCCCGCATAAATTTTGTACCACACGGTAGGAATTCCAAGATGGTAGATATGGTGGTTCACAAAAGTTTATATTATGCGTATAAATTTCTAGAGAAATTCAAGACTTTCACTTCTTAATTTTATACTGGTAGCTAGGCTCACACATGGAAATTTGAAAAGTGTTTTCCCGCTTTTATTTTATTTGTTTTTCAATTTTTATTTTTTCCAAATGAACTTGAAAGATTCCTCTGCAGTTTCAATGATTTTTTTTATTTCTAAGTTTCAAGCTGTAGCGTCACAGAGCGAGCCTCACTCGGAGGTCTAATTCTTTTCTATTCAAGTTCGTCCCGAATTACTTTTTTTGGCAAGTTACTTTTCTTGGTGCATAAAAACCTCAACTAAATGGAACACTTGTCCAAGAACCACCAGGAAGGGGGCTTACATCTTGCAGATTAAGTTTTGAATGTAATACGAAATCAAATCAAACAATCTACAACGAACAAAGAACTTAAGGATTTTATTAGCCTAGGGTAACAAAAACAAACCAGAGAATCAAAGGATCGCGTGTATTTTAAGAAAAATAAAGTCATTCGTGGGATATTTCACGGTATACCACTCGAAAGCATTGCATGACCAGTATGTATTCCATGAAGTTCGTTTCGCCAACGTAAGGGAATCCATGGTAGTCTTGGAATCTGGATTTCACGCCGTGGATCCGTATTCCGGGTACTTGACTCCAGTCTTTCCTTGAGCTGAATTTCAAATTCCAAAGCCCAGGATTCCGGATTCCACGAGTAAGATTTTTCCGGATTCCTGAATCCAGATTCCCTTACATAGGATGAATCGTTTTAATACTTTCTCTTGTAATATAGGTTACTTTCCCTGATGCTTACAAAATTCAACCGGATGGCTTATCTGTTCAAGTTAACGAAGTTCAAATACAACCAGGATTGCCATACAGATTGGGCATTAAGGCTCCTCAAGGAACGAGATTGGGTCTCCTAAGTGTGGACCAAAGCGTTTACCAGTTGGGAAATGAAAACAGGCTCACAAAAGAGCGTGTAAGTATAACTACAATAAAATTGCTTCCGTTAGAAGACTCCCATCTCTTAAAGCTGAGAAAAGTAGCTGAGTGGAAGAGAATAGGACGTTGTTTGCGTGCAATTTGTCGTGATCTCAGCTTGAAAGCTTAAAGTGTATATTGTGTATATTTTTTATTTATTTATTTAATCACGCAAATTTCCCTCCTTTAATCTCTACGCTATCAGGCGGCCAAACTGACAAATATGACGTCGAAAGATTTACAAGAATGTAGGCAACTTGTCGTTGTCGACAACTCCGCTGTCATCTTCTGAATCTTAATTTGCTTCGATATATGGTGACCTTTCTTACAATCAAATACATCGTTTAATTCCCCAAAACACAAAGCAACGACCTGAATCGAAAGCGAAAGCTTAGCCAATCAGCTGACGTCATATGTCGTTCTCTCTTTGATCCTTTACTCGTTCGAGCTGTCTCTGGGACATTTCTCATAGGCAAAAAGCAGTTTTTGGACAGCCAAAATTCAAGAAATATTTCGGGAGACACATTTTCAAAGTTCCTACTTGCTGATTAAACTTATTAAAGAACCAAAAACATTTGAAACAAATTTCATGTTATATCAGTGCACTTTAAGGTTACCAAGTGATGTGTAAACCAGTCTTAAAAGACCTACGGTCTCAGAAAAAAATTGTTAGGATACTTCCACAGAATTAAACGCTTTTTTAACTTCTGGTCAATCTCCTCGTCCTCCAAATGAAAGTGTCCTAATAATTTTGACTGAGACTGTAGAAATGGAAATCAATCTTAACATTTACATCATCATCGTCATATTCACTACTCGAATAAATCTCAGTATTTGAGACAGGCTCTGTGTTTGGATCACCGCAGTTCGAATTCCCGATCAGCCAGCAGGCTTGCAAGCTTCCCTGGACTCTCAGTTCGTTAGTCATATGTTCCTCGTTTTCAGCCGTCATTCTGCACCATCCCCTACATTATAGTATAACACCCATGAAGGGATTTTGTAAACGCTTTGGTGGGAGTCCAGGCTTTAGAACCATATGGCATGGTCGATTCAATCGATGCCTATAAAAACCTTACTGGAAAGAAAAACTGGTAACCGGCGACCAGATATGACACTGAAAACCAACCGTTTACCATCTCGAAGTTTCTCAACATCGCCAAACCATTTTTAATGAACAAATAAATAAAATGCTAAATGGTTGTTCAGCCGAATCAATTTAGCTTACTCTCTCCTCTGCAAGAAGACTGCACGTAATAGTACAAAGTCCGATTTAGACGGTACTATTTTTGCTTACGACTATCGTGGGCGACTAGCATACGTCATGACTTTCGATTATCCACACGCGCACAATTTTCACTTACGACATTCAAAGGTGTCGTACGGATGTCCTGGGTCTAATTTACACGACATGGTGATGGTCGTAAGTAAAATCGTACCGTCTAAATCGACCTTAACTGAGTCCTAGGACAACAAACAAGAAATTGAAAACCACACTCCCCATGGACGGTACAAGGGAACAGCGGAGCTGTATCACCCCCTTAGGTGTTTGTTATGTCAAAATACTTTACAAAGACTAATCGTTTAATAGATAGCCTGTGGTGAACTCTACAACGTGATATAAAGGTTGTGATGGCACTGCGCGCTGCGAACCTGTGACGTCATTCACTATGGCCGCCACTTTGAATCAGTTTACTGAATTTTCAGATTTATGTTAACAGTTTAAAAACTTTAAATAAGCAATTATTCAACATTTGTTGTCTTTTTTACCATTTTATATTACGTCTTCTCAAGACCATATAATCATATCAACCCCCTACTTCCAAAGTTTGCCAAAATGTGCAAAATGTGAGAAATAAATGACATATCCTGGTGAGAGGAGGTTCTGGCTTTTAGCGCTTTAGAAAGAAAGAAAGAAAAAAAACTAAAACTGGGAGTAAAACATCTACGCATAGCTTCTATCGTGGATCATAAACTTTGTTATTGTTAATCATTGGTACAGATTTTCAAAACAACCGAGGCTCTCGACCTTGGGTGCGGTGTTGGTGGAGGAAAGAACAGCAAGGATATCTTCAAGGTTGGTATCAGAGCTACAAAGATAATTCTAATTGATATTTACGAAGAAAGCTACTAGGTCCTTTGCACAAAACGGTCACGGGTACAAAAACCACCTTGCTGGATGGCAAACAAAGTAGTGGGACCTTGAAGAAAAAGGATGTTTTCTTATCTTTATGAATGATGTAGCCTCTGTTTTTCCTGCCCCTCTGCGTCTGATCGTTTGCCATCCAGTAAGGTTTTTTTGTTCCATATGTGACCGTTTCGTGCAAAGGGTCCATTACAGAAATGAATCACACCTCTGAACTGCATGTCTTGCAAGGAAACCTCTTTTATTGTCTCCATATTTCCAAAAAAATAGTCAAAAATCATAATTGTTGTTGTTCTTAATTTAAAGAACGCTGGTGTCGTTTTGATGACTGAAAACTTTGTGAGCGATGGAAGAGAAGGTGAGAAAAAAGTATAAAGGAAATATCCACTTCACACTTATACACTGCTATTATAATGACTGTGTCATTGTATTAAAAATGCTTCATCCCTAAAACTGCGATGGTATGTTTTTGGTAATTAAACTGCGCAAAAGGAGAAGTATACGAAGAAACTGAAGACTGCGACCCATGTCGACAGAAACCTGGAATTTGGGCTGGCTGGGCCGATATGGTGCAATTATTGCATTAATTTTGACACTGCGCAAGGAGAAGAAAACGCAGAAGAAAAGACTGAGACGAAGACAGATCTCCCCAATTTGCCAAATAGAAACTTCGGATCCATGGATCTGGGTTTGACGTTTAGTGCAATTTAACCACTGCGCTTGAAAACTGTGGTTCGTTGAAGAACGTTCTCAAAGAATATGTTGAAGAAAAAGCTTTACTGGTCGTTTATGCAAAGATTCCCCTATTACTTATGTTACGTGCAAACGGACGCAACAACACCCAACAATGTTGGGAGTTGTTGCGTCCGTTTGCACGGGGCTAAAAGTTTGACCGGTTTCAAACTTTGCGCAATTACAATTCCCAATAACACGCAACAACAAACATGCAACAGGGTGTGCAAACGGAAGCAACATGTAACATCCAACAATGATATTGCGTCCGTTTCTACTGGGCTTTACACTGTTATGGCCAGAGTGCACGTGGACAGGTCTTTCGCCGTAGCTCTCAAACCCAGTACGTAATTAAGTCACTTATATTGTTGCTTTAACTGAAGAAAACTGAAGAAAGCTAGGGTAGACCTTGCTTTTGTCTTGCTTTTGAAATAAGTTTATTTTGATGTATTTTTCAAATGTATTCATCATTCATTGCTCAGGTTATGGGTGTGGTGGTGACAACTCGCGGCAAAAAAGACGTGCAAGTGACGATGTATCAGGTGACAAGTTGTCTTGGTTTGGTTTTCATTTGGCATCTCAATATGATATTGTTTATGTCACTCCATCCGAGAAATACGTTAAATAAAAACGACAGTGCAGTAAGGAAATGCGTTTAATGCTAAGGACACTGTATTTCTGTATACAGTTGTTGTGTTGCAGCAACATGACTGTCCAATTTGACCCATACTGTAGCCAGCGAATATATACAGCCTTCTCTTCTAGCTCCTCGCCGATCCTGAAAACATAGCTCTCTCCTCTCCCTCCTCGCCGTTCGGGGCGTTTCACGGGAGACGTCTGCTATTCGGCCCCCAAAATACCATACTGATTACGCGAATTAATGTTTACATAATTAATCTGGTAGTCATGGGGTTCCAAATGTAAATGTGTTCGAGTTTATGTGACTTATTCGTATTTAATTGACGGTACATTTACAGCAGGGAAAAGGGATTCCGCGTTCCAAACTAGGTATGAGAAAGACGAAAGGAATACCCCTTCTGTCAATAATGGTATACTAAGGGAAGGGATCAGTCTTCTTTTTTTCCAGCCTCCCTGTATAAAACGTTGTTGAGATGCCCCCTAGGAGGAAAAGCCGAACTCAAGACTAAATACTACTAACGTTAACCAGTTGGTCCTGTTACGACAGCAACTGTTCTTTCCATCAGAGACAGTTCAGGAAACACCACACGTACATACCCTTACGATAAATGACTCTCATAGACTGGCAGACAGACAGACTAACTACCTGTATTTTCGATCTTTGTTAACTTCCGAAAGAAAGAAATTTTGCATCTTGTCCAAAATAAGAACTTATTACTTTGCCAAACTCTACCTATGTATTTCAATTGCGGTCGATTTTTCTAACGAACAAACGCCCGGTTTTAAGTCCCTGAAGTTTACCGTTTTTATGTTCTTTAAGTTCTACAGGACTGTTTTCTGTTATTATTTATTAATTGTGTCTGTTGTCTTATTATATATCAATAGCTCCGTTTGGGCGAATGAGGCGAAGTGCATTTGATGACGGTGACTTTGGTCCCAGTGATGAGGAGATTCTCTACCATACACAAGTGAGATCGTTCTTCCCAGAAACCTGGATTTTCGAAGAACAAGTAGTGGGGTAAGTCAAGTCAAGTCAAGTCAATTTTTATTTAAACTCACACAGAATAATTATAATTAATACAAATTAGTGCTTTAAAATATAAAATTGAGAGATTGTGAAGGGAAAGAAACTTTCAATTGTAGGGTTCATTGTGCAGAGTTTGGGACACCTAAATAGTTCGTGGAACTAACCGAGTAGGTGACACAAACAAGAATATGAGTAGAAGTAATATAGATGCAAAATGAATGTTTTAGATAAAAAGTATTACTTCATTAATTAAATAGTAGTTAAGATAATATAATCGTAAAACGTTAGGAATCAATAATAGTATTATAACCATCAATCAAAGAATTCTTGATATGTTGACGAAAACTGGAAAACGGCTTGATTTTCTTAACATCAACGAGATAAAGAATTCCAAAGTTTTGGACCGGTGTAACTGAGCGAACGAATGCCGTATTGATTTTTATGAACAGATTTAACAAACAGATTATCAATCTGTGATTGACGTGTATTATATGAATGAATTGAAGATACTGGGTTAAAATAATTAACAAAGAGGAGACTACGCAAAAATTGACAATCAGAAACCCATCATTCGAAATCGTTCACCAGTTACCATCAAACATCAACTGTATTGTAACCTCTTGACTAGTTTATTTTTCCCCGAAAACCTTTACAAGAGCCAATAGACAGCCTTTGTTTTTGACTGCGCTGGTTTCAACTGCCGTTTGTTGCACATTTACTTTGCTCCGATTGAGAGCCAGTAAGAGAGTAATTAAGTTTATGAATGATAGACTGTGCCAGGTGGGGAAGAGGCCGGGCGGGAGGTTGATAGGCACGTGAAAAGCCGAGACAGGAGTTGCTAAACATTCCATATGAGATGTAAGTATGCTCAAGGGTGAGTTAAAGACACACAAGGCCACAAATATCCCGGAACATTCCGGAACATCATAATAAATAAATAAAACAATAATAAAGAATAATGATTATAAAAATTAATAGTAATGAAATAAATGAAATTACATTACGTAAAACGAAAAAAGAAAGAAAGAAAGAAAGAAGGAAAGAAACGAAACGAAACGAAACGAAACTTGTACCATCTCCGAGTTTGAGAAAACAAATGACGTTTTGTGGCAATTAATTTGTTTGGTGAGTGAGGGTCCATTCAAATGGCAGTAATGAGTGATTAGGCTTGCGTCTAAATTCCAAATATATTAAAATGGGACACGAGGAGGGTGTTTTTCAAGCTTTCCTTGCACAAGACAGGATATTTCACAGACAGAAAGGTCCGTGTAGTGTTGATTAAAATTTCTTAGTCAGAGATTTGACCTTAATCGAAGTTGTCTATTATATCTAATTTCTGGAATCTGCGTAGCTTTCTTCGTTGTTTTAGAATACGTAAGGAGTACCTTAGTATAGGCCATTTGTATTAAGAGGTCATGTGACATCGTTTTTATGAAAATGAAAGTTATATGATTTTGTCTTCGAAAAACGATTAGTGGGTCATATCTTAAACAAAATAATAGTGATTTGGTTTTTCAAACCCGCACCATTTTCTTAAAATGAGTAAGTTCGTAAATGCGATTTTTAAAATTATTAATTACCTCTTTCTTGCACTTAAACTTCAAGGAAAATGTTGAAAAGATGATGTGGTAACGTTTACAGAACATCTGAGCGTAGCTTTAAAACGTTTAACAAGATTTATACAAGCAAACGTAGTTTTGGCCGCCATGTTAGAGGGCAAGAGTAATCCCTCCAACATGGCGGCCAACGCAAATCATGCTATTTTGTTGAAAAATCAAAGTGCCATAAAATATCCCTTAAACGCGTTTCCTCTCAAATTTCGGGTGTATAAATATCGGGTATATTTATTGTTATAAAATAACTGAGATAGTACGCGTGATCTGATTGGTCAAAAACCTATGGTTTATTATACCGGTAAACCCATAGAAAAAGGCATCCGGACCACGAGCCATAAACAAAACCGGCTATTGATCTGCAAACAATGATTTTAGAAAGGCTAAAAAAAATAACAAGTTACCTACCCAGCCCTTCTTAATATCAAAAGCGTTGGTTTCCACATTTTATTACTGCCATAGCTTTAGAAGCAATAAAGTACAAAGCTGGAAAGCAGTTTACATTTCACGACGATGCCAGATCGCAGAGAAAGACAACTACTGTGTGAATTTCTGGTGTAGAAAGTCTCCAGGAAAACTTGCCCATGTCCCAACCAGCAACAAAACGGATAGTTTTAGCATTCTTGATTTATTTTATGTCAAAGTTAAATTCCTTAATGAAAGAAATTGTTCCAAAAAGAGATCTCTGATCAAGATATGGTACAAAATCGGCCGCTGTAGGTTGTAAACAAGCTGCCAACAATGATGAAAGATGTCAGAGTTTTGGGGCTGGTTTTTTTCAACATTTGAACAAATTATTCGGTGATATCGATGCCATAACCTACCTCAAACCACCTGACTTTACAAATCGACAAATATTAACGCCAATATGTGGCTACGGCAAAGAAACCTTTTTCCACTAATGACATATTTCCATCGGTCGCTGTACTTGCATATAAAAGTTACAGGCGACAACTTCGCAAATGCAGCCACGTCGTTACCGCAGCATTTCTTAATTATAATATAGTCCAGAAAACAGATCTTAAACCACTGCGGCTTGTAAAATGTGAATGAAGTCCTCCATTACAATAGCTGCCAGTTCCGTCTGTAAGCACGAAATTCTTACGGATCGACTCAACAAAATACAGCGGCGTACAGTCTGATGTTCAATTAATTTCTACTTCTGTAGTAAACAAACCATGAACGTATTTTTTCATTGTACGTTCGCTTGAATAAATGTTGACTTTTCCTGTAAAACAGCTTTCATAAGTTATCATGTAATGAGTGCAAAAACTCGTGTTTTGAAGTGCTGCTGTTTGTTGTTTGACTGAACTGAGTTTTGAGAAAGTTCAGCGCTATTAAATCGTGAGTCATGATTGGCTTATGATGACTTTAGAGAGAAGACATGACTTGATCACGGTAGTAGAACCATATTTTTTACCTAAAAGACTTCCATTCTACTAAAAGTTATTTTATAAAAGCAATGGACCACACTTTCTATGGGTTTACCGGCGTGATAACCCACGCGGGATGTTGGGAGAACACGAGAAAAGCTTGTAAATCACGAGCCTTCGGCTCGTGATTTACAAGCTTTTCTCGTGTTCTCCCAACATCCCGCGTGGGTTATCACGCCGGTAAGCCCATGGAAAGTGTGGTCTATTGCTTAAATAATCGCATTAAATAATTACATTTACAATACTACAAGAAAGCATTTTAACAATAGACATTAACAGAGTAAAGCAAAATTTACGGTTAAAATATTACAGGGCTAAAAGAAATTAGAAAAAAGTACAACAGGGCAATGAAATAATACGGAGTTAGGACAGTTAACTTAAATAAGGCGTCAGTATCCAATATATTTTAAAGAATTCTTTGTTGCTGATTTTTTCTTCTGTTTTATATCTAGCGATGATCTTCGCCCTCAATCCATAAATGTCTGGAAGGATTTGTTTGCTCCTACAGTCCCACAAATAGAGTTTTCCAATAATTATAAAATAGTTCGGCAAATAAAGTAAAGGGCAAGCATTTTCCGTCAAAATTCCAAAGAGCACATTTTCTAAGCAGAGATGAATTCGTTGATTCGAAGTAAGGCACCAATATAATTCAAATTCTACCCAAAACTGTTTAGAAAGTGAGCAGTGATAGAACAAATGGGTAAATGATTCAGGTTGATAGTCACAGAAAGTACATAAACCATTTGTTCTAAAACCTATTTTGTACAACTTTGTATTTGTGTAAAGAATTGAGTTAATTACTTTGTACTGGAAGGCTTTAACATACGATTCGACAACGATAGAATGTGGCAGCTTAAATACTTGCTTCAGATGGTCGCTGTTCTAATGAAAGTTACTCTGTAATAATATTGAATAATATTGGGCGGTTTAGCTTTTTCTAAGTAGGTTATAGTAATCCTTTGATTTCCCTTTCGTAACATCAAAAATGTAGTCACTTACCACAAATGTTGGAGAGTTTATGAAAGGATACCTGTCATAACTTCTTAACGATAATGGAATGGACCTACGTAAGCTAGCCCATTCTACAGTAAAATATTTGTTTCGCATATTTTTTTAGACAGTTGATTATAAGAATCGGTACTGTTCAGACTAAATAAAAGATCTTGAATGCAAATGATTAAGGGAAGCATTGGTCACGTGACCTCTTAGTGCAAGTGGCCTATTGAGGTGCTTTCCTCCTGCCTCTTAACATATAATCTTATTACTAAATTTTAATACAATTAATCTTGTTTATTTCGTAGTAAACAAAGGCAATTCAAGCGCTTTCCTCGCCTTCCTTCGCTTTTGACACACATAACAATATAGCTAAAAACCATAAGTAGCTACTTTGAAATGCCATTTCCCGAGCTAAAAGTTCTCTCCAATCTAGCTAGGCAAGTTACACATGTATATCAAAAGAAAGGAAATTTCCCGTAGTAATAAAATACAGACATGCGTAGATGCCTAGATCCCGCGCGTGGTCGTCTGACGGGCCAAAATGTTCTAAAAAAGAGTCAAACAGTTAAAATATAAGCTGAAAAACCCGAGAGAAAAAAATATCTGAATTCTTGTAAATAAAGTTTAGCCTTAAGCTTAGATAATGAACTTTTATATTCTGGAGGTGCATTTGGGATTTCTTTGATAGTGTCAGTAAAGCAGAAAAAGGTTGCAAAATTACGGTCTATTCGGGTGAACCATATTTTGGGGGCGTGGTCGTGAAATTCAGTGTAAGAGTATTTATCTGGCAGACTTTGATATGGTTCCGTGTTCCGGGTTTTATCGATGCCCTCGGAAATGTCATATACTGCAAAAGACAGAAAGCTCTAACTTATTACCAGGCAACTATTTGCCATTTTTCTATCGATCAAACACTAGGTTTTGTTAGGTTTCCTCGAGTATTGAAGGTAAAGAGTTTTTCATTTGCACTAACGTGTGTTTACAGCCCGAGCAGCGTTGTTCAGATAGATGTCTTAATACCAGAAACTATAACCACCTGGGTAGTGCAGGGCGTGGCTATCAACAACAAAACAGTCCTGAGGTTTGCAACGCTGCTTAGAATTGTGGGTTTCTGAGATTTATTTGTTTATCGGAAATTACATATTCAGTCGGAAGAGGAGAACAAGTCTCTCTTTTAGCAACAGAGTTAATTATCACTTGGAGGAGATTCGGGTAATCCTCTGAGTAAGCCTGAAAAAAGAATACTTTTCAGATTTTTTAAGTCAAAATTTATTTCAGCAAAAGTACAGCATCTTTTTCAAAGCATCTTTTAAAGTAGCCTAAATTAGTGTCAGTTGTTCGCTCGGCTGATAGACAGAACAATCTACAGTGTACACAGGACGTGCCTGGCTTTCTCATGATACTTACCTGTATACGTATGTGATGTGACATGCGACCATGTGTTTTTGAATTTTTATAGAGTTTACTCTTTATTAAGTGTTGATTTTGTTCGATCCTTGTCGTATCTTCGTTCTCCGCTACAACAAATCGACAGCTCCTGCTCATATTTGTCTCTTTATAACTTAAAGTCGATCGGACTTGAATTAAAACAAGGTCGAAGGGATGTAGTTATAAGACTTGATTTTCCTTTTTATATGATTTTTCTTTATTGTATGAAATCTCTATTCTGGCAACATTTTTCAATTACCATCATGTTTTATGAATACGAGTTTAGCATGAAAAATAAACAGTAATTTTTCCCTCTCGCTTACTTTTATTTGAAAGGCATCTTAATTGAGTTTCAATTTTTGCCTCTGTTTATATTTGTCTTCTTCGGTTACAATAGATAAATTCGTGAACTGATGAACTAATAAATACACGAATTGAACTGAACGAAGAACTTAGAACATGGCCTAAAAAATGTTCCTCGTGAACAAAGCGTCTAGCTCATTACAGTTGAAGTAAAAAAAGAAGTGTGTCTCTGGGGTACCCTGATACCTAAGTCTTCCTTTCAGGCACGTTGCAATTTGGTCTAGAATCGATTATGGTGGTCATGGTGATATCCGTTGAGAAATAAAAATTATATTCGCCATGAACAGAACCGGGAAATAATGAAGATCTTGGCCTGACAAATCTAATCTTTCAGTGCTTTTTGTCTTTTGACATTGTTTTTTTTCCGGGACCTCTCTAAAAATCACCCTGGTGAGAGAGCCTCCTGGTTAAAAATTGTCATTATTAATTATTATTATTATTATTATTAATGTTGATAGTTATTAACCATTGCTTTTTCTCATTCTGCTGTCAGGCAAAACTGTATCTAAAAGGTGACAAAGACTTCTGTTCTATTGCGGCTAATGAAAGGAGGAAAGGAAACAAAAACATTCGCGCACCGCAGGCTACTACGTTCACTAAGAATTTTTCATATGAAATCTTTTAGATTGAAAATACAGTTATACCTCCACCTTTAGTCACCTTTTGGTAACAGCCACTTTGTTTTGGTATTGGCGGATACATTAACATTCAGTCTTTGCTTGACATCAAGCTTTCTTTAAAAAAATATCACTGAAAATAGTGTCTACAAATTAATACACAAGATCAGCATCATTGGCCACACAGGAAAAAAATGGGCAATACCTGACCGGTGTGTCCCAGAAGTCTTTGCGCAAGCTTACTCGGCCCGGTCTCTTGTCGTCTGTAACAGTGGCGAATAGCAAGTAAAGGCTCGCACGCTAACGTTTTAAGCGTTATAGTAAGTAAGTAAGTAAGTAATAACTTTATTTAACCACGGAATCCTTATCACTAAAAGTGGCCTTCTAAAGAGCCGTGCACATTAAACTAAGACTTAAAAATAACAAACATTACTGAAAAAAATCCTATAATAAATGCCTACTAAGAAAATCTTAATGTACAATAGCGGAATAAAAACAATTTAAAGTAGTGACCCGCTTAGCCTCAGCAGACAGGCTGTTCCATGTTACTGCGCCCCTATAACGAAAACTTTTCTTTAGGGCCTCAGTGTTCGGTCGCGGAATAAACAGGTTATGTTGCGCACCTCGAAGATTATGCCTGTGAATGGTATTAATGCTGGCGAATTTATCAGACAGGTATTCGGGTACAAGGTTATTTACAGTTTTAAACATTAAAGATTTCAGTTGCTTAGCACGTCTGTCAGCGAGGCTATCCCATTTAAGGGCATGAAGAATCAGGGCAGAGCTGGCATCCCAGCTAGACCCTGTAATTATGCTTGCAGCCCTGTTTTGTAGTTTCTTTAGTTTTTGGCTGAGACCATTACCGATAAAGCCCCAGACAGCGCTGCAATAATCGAGATGCGGAAGAATCAATGACTTGTAAATAGTGACAAGGGTACTCTGGGGACATATTGGTCTTAGCCTTCCTCAGGGCAGCTAGTACTTTTACAACTTTACGGATGACTTCGGAGATATGAGCCTCCCACGAGAGTGTTTCATCAACCTGAACGCCTAGGCATTTGCAACTATTGACTCTTTCAATTGAATGCCCGTCGAGGGACATGTGTGGATCGCTAGGGAGCAAAGAGATTTTTTGCCTTGTACCTGTAAACAGACGTTTAGTCTTAAGGACATTAAGACTTAGACGGTTAGAATCGAGCCATTGCTTCAGATTGCCCAAATCATGAGTCAGCGATGAAAACAACTCATTAGGGTCTTCGGAGGCAAACGTGAGATTAGTGTCATCGGCGTACATTCTCACATCCGATAGAAGGTTACAGTTAGGGAGATCATTAGTGTATAATAGAAATAGTAGGGGGCCGAGGATTGAACCTTGAGGCACCCCACAACTGAAGAAGCTAGTTTCGGAATTTACGTTGTTTATAACTGTAACCTGAGTTCTATCTGAGAGGTAGTCTCGGAAAAGATTGGGACTAACACCTTTAAACCCATACAGCTCCAATTTTGAGAGAAGGATCTCATGGTCAATAGTATCAAAAGCCTTTTTTAAGTCAAGAAACAAAATGGCATTTGTCAAACCATCGTCGATATTGAGATACCAGTTGTCTGGAACTGGAACTGATTATGAAGTCGATTTTTGGAGTGACTCTCCGCAGTCAGTTAGCCAATTGATGAAACCTCTAGTTACTGAGTATTCTTATAGAAATTGCAATTAGTAAGAAACTACTCTTGCATGGGGTCTCATCTTAGGCCTCGTTCAAGCGTCGAACTTTTTATGTACCAAACCTAATCCTTTCAATTAAGTACATGAAACGACCAACGTTTGAGTCAATTAAGTCCGACAAATCTAACTTGGGTCGACCCATGAATTAAGATCGAGAGGCCCTCATGGAAATTTCGACTGTGGAGCAACTTCGAACGTCGATTTTGCCGAACCTACGGAATACATTACTATGATTTTTATTCGCTGTCAAGCATTAAAGGCCATTGTACATCGTAAAAATAAATTGAGTCCGACTAACTAAGTTCGACGTCTGAATCAACTTACATCATTTGGGTCGACTCAAATAGGCGTTAAGTTTGGTACATGAAAAGTTCGACGTTGAACCTGGCCTGTGAGCCCGTAAGGTCTCTAATGAGAGCGGGGTCACTATCCTTAGGTACACAACAATGGAAACAATGCTCTTACCTTTGAGTTAACTGTAGCAGATGTAACACTATATTCTTTATCGTGTTGTAAGATTACAAGCTCAAAAACGCACCTACACTTAAGACAGGACTCTAGTTTGGTAAGAAAAACTTAACTTTGGCCATCTTAAGCGTACGTTATGGTCTGCAATCCGTAATTCATTTGAGTATATTGTTCGTTACCTACAGCCCCAGCGGACTTGTGGAGATGTATGTCACAATACCAGATACTATAACCACGTTGGTAATGCAGGCCGTGGCTATCAACAACAAAACAGGCCTGGGACTAGCAACACCCCTTAGAATTGTGGGATTCAGGGAATACTTTATCTCTCTCAAGTTGCCATATTCAGTCAAAAGGGGAGAACAAGTTTCCCTTTTGGCAACAGTCTTCAATTACCACGACGAAGACATGCGGGTAAGCGTGGGAAAAAAACTTATTTTTCATGTTAAATTTCTCGTTTTGTAGTATTTTAAGGCATCTTAAGTTAGTTTCAGCTGTTGCCTTTGATTAATCAACTTAATGAAATGATTGCCTTTGATTAATGAACTTAAATGTTGGCCTCCTATTAGCCTGCGTAGCAAGCGTTTTCGTGCAGTTTCGGAGCAAAGAACATCGAACGAGAGTCGGTCCTTCTTTGCCCCGAAACCAGACGGAAACGTTTGCTACGCAGGCTAGCCTCCTTTTTGTCGTCATTGCAATGATTAACCTAACATAAATGTTAATGACTGTGACGAAGAATAATTCGGCATTTAAAGAACCAGAGGACAATCCAAGAATTAACAATGTATCCTAAATGTACCCGCCCTTTTTTGTAATTATACAGTAAAATTGACAATGCGAGTGATAGGGGCGATGATTTAATCGATCATTGCAGCTGCCAGGCGGTCACTGCCATAAAATGCTCACAAACAAGCTCAACCATTAGGATAGTGACCACAATTTCAAATGGCCATTTAATCTCTTTAATCTCTCATTATTCTACCCATAGTTAGTAGAGGAGACTGGTTACGAAAACCGGCAAACATCAAAGTTGTAAACAACGGTTATGTGGTTAATGTTGAAAGCTCACTGACCGTGAACAATCCTTTGTTTTTTGTTCACAAATTGTGACTGAATAAATTATTACGATGGTTTTATTGGTCAGTAAGTTCAAAATGATAGGAATGATATTGAACGTTGCGCACGGTCAGGTGACCGTGCAAAACAACAACAAAAAAAAGCCAACGAAAACATAAAGCAAGGCAGTCTAAGGTCCTGTTTACAAGGAGCGAGGGTTACCCTTGTGCTAGGGTAACCCTAGCAAGCAGGTTAAAGTTAGCTCTGGTTTAAAAGAAAATTTCACAGGTAGGGTTACCCTATCACCTGGGTCAACTTTACCAGCTTTGCTGACGTGTTTCGTCATGCGTGACATTCTTTGTAACGGTCCAAGATTTGAAATAATCTTGAAGTTCTCCATGGAAAACACGTTAAATTCACGAAAAAAAGGGAACATATTTTCCAGATTTTTATAATTAAGCTAAGAAATTGGATAATACTGTTCAAATTGGCACAATTACTGGTCACGCATGACGGCGGAAAGTTGACCCGGGTAGGCGAGTTATCCCTAGCAGAGCGTTTACAACGCAGGTAGGATAACCCTCTTGCCAGGGTAACCCTTGGCTACCTGCCTTTTAGACACGCCGTGTGAAAAAAGAATAAATATGCGAGTGCTGTTGGATTAACCCTCTTGCACCAGGGTTACCCTCCCTCCTTGTGAACAGAACCTAAAGGTTTTCATAAACCATTCATTTTCACTTTAATAACTAAGTTTTACCGTTTTTGCTTTCCTTTCGTCAGGCAAAACTGTATCTCAAAGGTAAAAAACACTTCTGCTCTATTGCTGCGGACGATAAACTCGCTTTGATAGGTGTGGTTAACATACCAGCCAATGACGCAAGATCTGTAGCAGTTCCTATTGTTCCCAAGAAAATTGGAGAGATTCCAGTACAAGTGTCGTCCATTCTTCAAATTAAAGTTGGTAACAGCTACATGAATTCGGCTGGAGATGCTGTGACGAAAACACTTTTTGTTTTGGTATGTGCCTTGGAGTAGGTACCTATTTCTTCTGCGTTCCTTTTATTCCTAAAACAAAATTATCAGCTTTAGACAGCGGTGTCGTTTATTCTTCATATGAAATTGGTACATAAATTATGTCTGAGATTCTTTGAGGACTGAACACCGTCTCCTTTTCATTTGTAAGTCAGTTAAGGTTTAACTTGTGCGTTGCACTCCGTATCCCTGAAACCTAATGCTCCCACTCACCTGCTTTTGTTTCTTGATGTGACTGAAGTCCAGTAGGTAAAATGGTGTCTGTAAGAATAAACGGCAATGTCTAAAATCATATCAATTTTTTGAGGCCGGCTAGTACTCCATGGTTTAAAAAATTTAAACAAGCCCGAGGGAAACTTGGCGGTTTTGTGTGCCGAGCGGCCGAATGAGGGGTGAAGCCGTGGGTAGAATGGGACGAAAACAACGAGAAACAGCGGGTTTTTTCTCACGGCTTCAATGTTTGTTAGCGCGCGCTTCTCGCAGGTTGTCGCAGCTTTCTCCCCCCCCTCGCCAAGAAAAACTAGACATACCGCCAGCACGCAGGCAGATCGTACTGCAACAACAGTTGTTCCAAAGAAAACTGGAGGAATCGGAATAGTGATGTGGAGGCTATTTTTCAAGTTAAAGATATCATTGGTAACGTAATTGGCCAAATATGAATTCGGGTGATCGAAGACGCTGTACTTGGAGAAAACAGTGAAAGCTTTTTTTTGTAGCCGTTTGTGGATTATATGGAAGTAAGCTGGTTCACGTGTTTAAGACACTTTCTGGCAACAGTACACTTCAGTTGTTACCGTTGCGAGATATATTAGGTCAAAACTAGACATTTTTCAACCGTGACAAATATTCATCTTTTGATAATACTGTATATATACCCATCCTATGAATATACCTTTAGGGTTTTACAGTCAAACCAGGAAATCTGTGAACAGTAGAAATATTTCTGGAATGTTATTGTGTTGCAAGGAAAAAGCCAATCTGGCGTGAGAAAACTAAACAGCAAACAAGAACGTTAATTAGTTTGTGGTTTGTGGCTTGCTCTGATGTCCTGATCTTTGCTGTGATTGGTCTTGACACAATAAACATTCTTGAAATATTTCAAGTGTCCACGATTTTCCCGGTCGCACTTTTAACATCTCTCTTTATAACGAGATCGGGGGTGGTCACCAAAGCTCACCAGCTTGGTCGCTATTTTGGATGACGTCATAGACACTCAGTATTTCCATAGTGCGTAACCATATTTTAAATAGGCGTCGATAAAACCCGGAACACGGAACATTCCGGAACATTCCGGAGCATGCCGCAACATCCCGGAACATGAAAAAATAGAAATGATTTTCTTAAAAATATAATTAATGAAATAAAATAATAATAAAAAAAACATTTTTTTGTAAAAATTAATTATAACAAAATTACATAAAATAACAAAAAGAAAAAAAAAAACGAAAAAAAAAAATAATAATATAGAGAAAGAAACTGTATCATCTCCGAGTATGAGAAAACATCGATCAATTTTGAATTTAGAAGCCAGCCTTCACTCATTACTATCCGTTTGCATGGACTCTCAATCGCCCAACAAACTATTTGCGACAAAATATTGTTTTCTCACACTCGGAGATGATACGAGTTTCTTTTTCTTTATTTCTTTAGTTTTCGCTTTTTTTTTGTTATTTTACTTTATTATTAATTTTTACAAAAATTATTTTGTTATTATTATTATTATTATTATAATTATTATTATTAGTAGTATTCTTTTTCATGAAAATTATTTTTATTTTTTCATGTTCCGGAATGTTCTGTGTTCCGGGTTTTATCGACGAGCATGGTAAATTACATTTATTTATGAGTTATCTACTTAAGCCAAACTTCGACTTGATGTATTGTAACAGACGTGGACTAACTGAAATTAGTAAAATCCAACTAGTGGTCCATTATCAATGCTGCGTTCTGATTGTTTGAGCTACCACTAGGCTATATGTTATAGTTCTATATATTTAAATTTTTTAACCTTATTTTTCGTCTCCCTTTTTTTCCTTAGCCAGAAGGAAAGGAACACCAAAAGTCACAAACTTTTATTCTGGATCCTACGGGTAATAACTATATTAATGTTTTCCCAACTAACAACTGCTGCAGCCGCTCAATAGTTGAACATCTCAGTAAAGTCTATCATTTTGTTAAATATTAAATATTGTTTACTCATACTTAGTTTAGCCTGTTCCAGACTCCAATATATTGAAAAATAATGTGCGGATGCTAAAAAACTCGTGGGGGCTGGGCACACGCTTGTTTTTTCGACGGCCCCACGTTCTGTTTGATCTATGAGAGCCTGGCGCTAGCTGCTACTACTACTACTACTACTACTACTACCACCACCACCGCCACCGCCACTGCTACTGCTACTGCGACTACTATTTCTAATAATAATGCCGTTATTGACCCTCGGCAGTACTTATAGCACGAATGCTAGTGGGGCCGAGCAAATGCCTGAAATTACAAACAATTTAAATTGAACTTAAGAGGGTTAAGAATCCCAACTGGCTGGAGGCAAACCAGTTGGCTATTTACAAGCATGGCCGAGGATTTGAACTCGGGACTATCGTGAACAAATCCAGCTAGCGGTCAGAGCGGGACTTGGCCACGCTGCCTCCACAACTATGCTTGCTGGCTTAAAATAATACCAAAAGCGAAAACGTTTCATGAACTTTCATTGTTGGCCTTTTCATTTCAGGGTATCTTACCGACAATGCTAGCAGTGGTGGAAACAGACCAGTAAGGCCCACTCAAACGGCGTTTCAAAGTAAAAGTACGCGTTTAACCATTGTTATGCCACTATAAATTAAAAATTAAGTGTTCATAAAGATGCAGTAACTAAGAAGTACAGACTTACAGACTGGAGGCACTCAGTTGAGAAGTTCATCAAGAAAGTAAAAAAAAAATGTTGAAACAAAAAGTTAATATTAACGTTAAAAGCCGACGTTTTCGGTATCATCATGACACCATTCTCAAGGCAAAATGAACAAATAATGCGAAGATTTGATTTCTATAGTCTCTACAAATTAGCATAATATCAAAGGATCACAAATTCTTCAAGTGAATACCTTTGCGCGAATCGAGTCCGCTTGCACGTTTAGGGATGGTTTGGGTTTTCTTATAAAGAGTATCTCCTTAATTAGGCAATCAAATTTGTTAGAACCTTTAGTGAGCACTTGAAATTGTTCTGAAAGAAAAGGTGGTACGTCCGAGTTATGTTCGCTGTTTTAGACCCCGTTTACATGGAGTGGGGGACCCCGGTCTAGTGGGGTAAGTTTCTTTTGTTTTCACGCTCTGGGGGACACAAAACAAAAGAAACTTACCCCACTAGACCGGGGTCCCCCACTCCATGTAAACAGGGTCTTAAGACAATGTTTATAAATTGACGACGATTTCTGTTTGTGTCCATCAACGCGTTCGTGAAGGTGGCCGCGAGTATAACCAACATATCCTGCACCGCACAGGTTACATTGAAATTGATAAACTAAACATTGTTGGTTAACAATGGCTGGCTTGACTTCTCGAAATTTAAGGTCTTCGTTGAGTTTTCTGCTGATGAACACGGGCTGAATAGTGGTCTTGATTTTTAAGCTGAGGTCTGTGAGACGTTTTTTCACTATATTAGCAGAGACCTGATCTTTAAATGGTATGACAACTCGGATGGGGGCTGGAGTCGTGTCGGTTGATGGTGGTCTGCCACCTTGGAATCTACGAATTGTTTGACAGCCAGATTGAATAGGTGCCTCGGGTACTTAAGCTTTAAGAATACAGTCTCAAGCCGATTGCATTCTTGTGACAAGTACGACCAGTCGGAAGATATGCGGTAAGCTCGATCTAACATGGTGGTAATTAGACTGCGCTTGTACCGATTATCCACGTGGCTCTGATAGTGGAGTAAAAGGCCCGTATTAGATGGTTTTACGTAGACCTTGGTCTTGATTCTGGGAGCTAAGCTTAATAGTTCAACACCGATGAAAGGAAGCGAGGCATTCCAATGCAAATTAAGGAGATGCTCTTTATAAGAAAACTCAAACCATCCCTAAACGTGCAGGCGGACTCGATTCGCGCAAAGGTATTCACTTGAAGAACTTGTGATCCTTAGTTATTATGCTAATTTGTAGAGACTATAGAAATCAAATCTTCGCATTATTTGTTATTTGGGCGTGGCCCAAATAGAGTAATGGAAACGGCTTGTTTTGACGCAAATGTGCAATAGGCACGCAATACGTGCTAACGTAAACAAGGCAAGTAAACAAGCGAAGCGAAGCGAATGTCTGCCATGCGAACGTCTTGTACAAGGTAAGAGGCTTTTGGGAAAGAAAGCTCTGCTAGCGAACGGCAGTTAATCGCACTTTTACGATCTCAAAAGTTAATCTGAATCTTCAATATTTTTGCCTCATCGAAATTTGGAAGTCTGAAGTCCAGGGATGAAATCTATCAAAAATATTTGGAATATTAACGTCGGGTTTTGGTCACAAGCAACGAACCTTGAAACACAGAAACTCAAAAAACGGATCGAAATCCATCAATCACAAATCATAAACAATGACCTTTTGAACCCGTTGAAGAAAACTTTCGTTTCCTAAGAGGTCCGCTAAGATGATTGACGTCTGACATTTTTTTGAGGAGAGGATCGAAATGCACCAATCATAGAAAGACAGTTTTAATTGCATGTTTCCTAAGAGGTCATCTGAATTTGCTGTTTTCTTTATTTTATGTCCATTTTCTTTTCCTTATTTTGTGATTGGTCGATTTTGTAAGGTCGAGTGGATAATCCAATGAGGGACGCAGGGGGGACGATTTGGATATCGTTTGATCCGAAATTTTTCGAAGCAGCAGTGAGAAGCAGTTTGGATAACATTTGGCCGCGGCGTTTCGAGGAAAATGTTATTATATTGTTCAATCATGTTATCCCGGGTTAAACTTGCAAATGCACACACTGTTCGCGGTAGGCCCACACTAAAAAATAACACTGAGAGTTTTCGGAATGGGCTGGTCCGCGAACTCAAAGAAAAACAAAGGAAATTATCAAGACATTCAATGACATCAAAGACTTTTAGTGGACCCTATAGACGTAATAACAAATCGGAATATCAGGAGTGTACGTGTTAAATGGATAAGAGTTTGAACAGAGGAATGTTGAACAAGTGTGAGTGTCGAAAGATTTGTGTAGCTGGTTATCAGTGTGACAATAGTGATTTTGATTTTTGCATTGCGGAACACAGCGAGTTGCCTGTGGTAAAAATCTGTTTCGATGAAGGAAGAGACGATTGTCAACAATTGAAACCAAAAGGGACTGAGACTTCTTTTGGAACTACTGTGATTACTGCAACAATTCTTTTTATTATTTCAATTTTGTTTTAGCAGGGTGACGGTTAATGTACTTGTTTTTGTATTGCGTTTTGTGTTTTTTCAACTAATTGTGTATGTTGTGACGCGCGGTACATGTACGATGCTGTGCGTCGGGATTTTGCATTATCAGCAAGTTTTGTGTTAGAGTGTTTTGATGGCAGCGAGGTGACGACAAGAGAAGGTAATGAGCTAGTTGTACAGAAGGAAAATTGTGTTGTGGAGGAAATAAAAGAAGTTGAATTGAGATCTCGTCGTGGGAAATTTATTTATAAAAGAACTTACAAATTAGGTTAGTCAATTATATTTTCGGCATGACAAATTACCATTAAGTCGAGACTGTAATAGACCATTTTACAGTTGTGGACTTAGTACCCTAGCCTTCGAGTGAATGTGAGGCTGACGGTGACCTTGTTTTGATACAAACCTCCTTTGCTTTGTTATGGAAATTGTCCCTGAAAAATACTAGTTAGCATAAGAATAACTTGATTTACATAATAAAGCAGGAAGGTTTGTACCAAAACAAGGTCGCCGTCAGCCTCACTTCCATCCATAACTGTAAAATGGCCTATTCGAAACTCGCGTTGTTTTCAAAATTTGCATAAATCGGGCGCTGCGAAGAAATATTTAGGTTACAAGCGCTTTGAAATACTGTACCTTCAGAACGGCATAGCTTTTACTTGTTGTGCTATCTTTCAAAACTATCGATCGATTCTAGCTCAAAAACTCTCAAAGCAGCGGTTTAAATGTTAAAGCTCGTGGCTGGTTTGTTTTCAAACGATTTAGGATGGATCGAATCGACTTTGGATCGATTATTATTTTATCAGCTTGTGGTATGAAAGAAATGTTTTTCTTCTCGATAAAGTTCACTCAACAAATTTAGAAAGATTTACTTGACTTTTCATTTGTGGAACGAACTGATTTTTTGTGGAACGAACTGACTGTTTTATGGAACGATCTGACTATTGATTGGACGATCTGACTTGGAACGATGTCAACGATCTGACCATGAAACGAAATGACCGGTTACCTTCATGCCCCCAGCAGACTACCGATGAACAAATTAAAATCTTTGTTACAGAAAACACGGAAAGTGACTCTTTTTTATGGAAGACTATGCGGAGGTGTGAGGTTTTTACTTAAGGGGCAACTCCAAAACTAGTTCGTAAACGAGGGAAGGTGTATCTGTCGTCTAAGCATCAGAGCACAGGCGATTTAGGTGGAATGAGATATCCAAATAGGCTTCTAAGTAAGAATTTGCCTCTCTGTACATGTAATTTTCCATTTTATAGTGCTTAACACAGTTTGAATCACCGGGTTAATTTTGGCCAATTTAAGCTTTGTACTGATATAGAGAAGAATCCAGGAACCTCAGTTTATGTAGATGCTACAAAAACAGTTAATGCTCCATACTGTCAAGGAAATGTTACAGGATTTGGGGAAAATGGTGGACAACGATGTGTCGCAATGAGTCTGTGCGCTTTAATTTACAGTAAGATAACAAAGATTACTTCAGTTTATATGACCCAAATATTGATTGTTGGTACTCAATTATATTCTAGTCTGTCACTGCTTGCAAGACAGTCTATGTTCAAGTTAACAGAATTGCCAGGAATGGTTACAGTGTTTGAGCAATTTTTCCACCTTGAATACAGTTACAGTTATACTTGTAACATCCTTCGCTACTGTATTAGCCTGAATTTCATCCGATTACTTCGAGTCGTTATTACTCCCTCAGTAACGTCCGGAATCGACCGGCCGTTAATGCCGTCCAGTGACGTCACTACTCGTTGCCCATTGCTTTAATTCATGCAAAAAGTAAACACGATATTCAAGTGGCAAACCGAGAAATATCGTTTGGAAATGTCTGCATGATACAGAACTGCTTTATGTTTTTCGATTGTAATTCATGTTTACCGTTCAAACTATCAACTGCATGCAGCACAACTCTGAACCGGTTGTACTAAATTCTGTAATCAAACTCGGTCGCAATCACGCAATGAAATAAACACACACACGGAACGCTTAGTTCAAAAACACAATGATTTGCTTTAATTGAAAAGAAGCTATTTGGTGCTTAACGAAGAAAAAAAACAAGGAGACAAGAAAGAAAAGCTAATAGAATCATTACACTTGACGGTAAAAATAGCAAGAAAGTCGAATTATAACATTGATCTCAGAAAACTTCGCGTAAACAAAATCACCGGCCGCCGAAACCACAAAGCGGCTCTAAATAAAAAACCTACCGACTCTTTGCAATGATTCTTCATTCGCAGTTCAATTTAGCATTTCAGTTTCAAAGACAAGGGCAATTTTGCTGTTTAAGATAAAGATTAAGCTTATCGAAATGTTTGAACTAAACGAAAGAATGCCAGGGATGCGATCCGCTCGCTGAATATCAAGCGACAATTCCGCTAAAATTTTTCATAATTATACATAATTATGCGAATGTTTAGACAATCAACCAATTAAAATCACTACCCGGGTTTCGGGTAGTGAGTGACGTCACTGGACGGCATTAACGGCCGGTCGATTCAGACGTTGTTGAGAGGAGAAAACGACTCGAAGCAATCGGATGAATTTCAGGCTACTACTGTATATGCCACTCACAGGTTACAGCATTTGAAACACTCTCGGCACTGAACTACAACTCATTCATTTTAATGGTGGCAATTATTGGTGTTAGCATCTACAGCACTGAGGCTGGGGGATATAATGTATTTGATTCTCTTACTAGAGATATGTATCATAACAGTCATAGTGAAGGGACATGTGTATTGTTGGAAATACCATCCATGTATAAATTAGTACAATATTTTCAGACTCTACATACACTTTTAAGTTCATATATATCCTCATTCCTACATATTTCCACCTTTGAACCTCATCTTTTCTCAAGCAATGTTGAAAATTGTAGTATATCAAATGTTAATAGTTACCAATGTTCCTGTAAACAGTGCTACAATATACCCTATAGCAGTTTATGCAATGTATTACTCTCTTATTAATCCTGTGAATACTGGACTTAAGGAACTTTATTTGCCCTTGTTAGTAGCCGGAATACACTGTACAAAGTGATGGGTGTGAAAACACATCTGTCAGTATCAGTGGAGCTGAGATAAACCTTACTCTCCGGGCTGTAACCACTTATGTCCTATGTTGAAATTTGGCTCCAAGCATGTCTGCATTGAAGATGCGCATATTTTCAAACATTGTCGTGAAATGACGCTATTTTTGTTGTGGACTGGGACATACTGTATAAGCTGTGTGGTTCAGCAAACAAGTGGAGTAAAGGATTTGTCTTCTCTGGTAAGATATGATGACAGTTCTTTAGCTGCAATAAGGCATGTTCAAAGTATCATACCCGTAGTACGACCACGCCCAGATATACGCTCACACAGCGTCTTGTTCATTTTGCCTTGAGAATGCTGTCATGATGATACCGAAACGTCGGCTTTTAACGTTAATATTCGCTTGCTTATGTTTTAAGAAATCGTTATTGATCAAGAAACAAAAAGTTAAGTTGAAAAAATATCATCTTTCCCAAGATCCTACAGGGTGTATTTGGTATTTTGAAAACTAACCTAACGAAATTGCAGTCATTTCAGTGAAAAGGCGTCAAAGGTTTCTTAAGCCCGAGAAGCTCCAAAATCATAGTAACGAAGGAAAAGGAAAGGAGAAAAAGAAAGAGCGAGGAGAAGGAATGGAGGAGAAGAAAAAAAGCAGTGGTCACACTCTTAGTTTTTATAATGACTACTTTAAAGATAATTTTTGGCCGAATAAAACTGTTGGAAGCAAAAGGTCCATTTGGCAATAACGTTATCAAAAATCCGGTGAGATATACATTTGGCTAGATCATGATTGGTCCCATAAACACGTAATAGAAATTGCTTGAATGTTACTGATGTCTCATAACCTAGGGAGCCTATCATTGCGATGAAATTATTTGCACACTTTCAAGTTTCCCTGAATCTTGTTAGTTTCGAAAACGTTTGGACCAGGATAAAAAAGAGGAATGAAGGGGAGGGTGAGTGGAGAAATTGGCTGGTGGGGGTGCTACCCTCGAAATGATCTTAAGAGAAGCACACTGCCCCACCATGTCAAGGTGGTGACCCCATTCCAAGAGACTTTTTTCTGTACGCTGTATCTTAAGTTATCTCAAAGTGTGATTTATAATGCTCATAAATAGTCTGAGTTGTTTTCATAGGTATCCTTCATTTTTTTTCAATGAGGTAAACCAAAACTAATTAATACGTTACTAACCCAGCCCATTTAACGATTTTACCTTAGAATCATTGCGACGGAAAGGTCCCCTTCACGTCGTTGAACTTAGCATTGATTTGGAGTCCCACAAGGATGCCGTTACTGGATCAGTTAGGGCTTTCGTTTACCTTACAGGTGAGAATTATCAAATCAAAGCCGTGACATGATGTGAAGACGAGAGAAAATAATAGCCGACAGAGAGGGAATCTTAGGGCGTTGGCCGGGATATGTGAATAGGCAACGTTCGATATATTTTATCGAACAAGACTCAAAGGCTTTAGACACAAAACTGCAAATTTCCACGACTCTGTTGTTTTGCGATTCCCAGAAGAGACTTAGGCTCAAAGAATACCAAATCAAATAAAGAAAAATGATCAGAAAGACTCGGAGTCATGTTATATTAATATATCGAACGTAGGTAATTAGGATGCAATTAAACGGAAGTTTATTCCTGAAACGTCCGCACGTTTTAATCGATTGTTTGAAACGTCATTAAGTCAACGTGAAATTCACACATCCCAAGGGCTAGACTGGGATTTTCCCTCGTTCCATTACTCTCTCCTGGTGAAGACTATTTTTCTAACCAAATGTCTCGTACGGGTTGCTTTTAGTAATCATTGTTAGCAAACGTGCATTCCATACCGGCAAAAAAAAATACTACTTACCGAGTAATCATCATTCGTTTTGATAGGAAAGGGCGATAAAGTGAAAGGAAGGACACTAAATCTGAGAGTGAAACTCGCGTCTGAGATGGACTCCCACTGGAAACCACCCGCGATCCATATTACCAAAGAAAACGCTCTGCTACGAAGACAATTTGATGTAAGTAGAATTTTCGATTCTGTTTAACACATTTGAAAGCAAAGATCTATCAGATTTACGAGAAGAAATCTAGCTACTTTTTAGTCAAAATTTGTTCGATTTCGACTATGGGTAAATTTATAATAATAGTTAATAAAAATAGCCGGAATTGAGATATTTCTGCCGCACGAGAGGAGCGGTGACTGAGGCCAGTTCAGCATGGGTAGATGGAATCAGAATCAGAGTTCCATATATACTTAAATCAGAGATTCCAGCCCCGTCAACTACAAAAAGGGAAATCTTAGGAGCGGCATAGCCGCTACCACGAACGCCGACGGTGCGAGCCTGTAGGGGGTCCGGGGACATCTTAAGATATGTGCCTCTAGTTCAGGTAACAGGTTGGTCTCCTTTTATAAATAGGTGACGAGGTACCTCGGTGGAAAATTGAATGTAACGGCTGAAGGGACTGGAATTGCACTACTTGAGGTAATTGCATCATTATTGTAAATTGTCCTTTTAGTCTCTTGAGCACTGAATTTAAGCGTTCTTTAATTTTTTTTTTTTATGTTTCGATTCCTGCGTGCAACTTCCATCAAATGCTTATTTGTTAACCTTTTGAGAAGCCATAAACAAAATCAAATTCAATTTTGCGGCACAAAGAGTTTGTAGTACCCGTAACTTTACCGCAAATTCTTTGCGATGACAGTATAACCAAATAAAAATATGCTGACGCTGGAAAATACCCAAGCTCCTCTTCAATAATTAACGGAAGAAAACTTTCAAAAAATGCCTTAAAGAGGAAACTAAAACAAACACTTTTTGAGATCCTAGCTTCAGAAGACTGTTATATTGATCTCCCAGAAATCGTTCAAAAAGTTAAGTTGAATTTATTTTCCTCTTAGTTGATATGTAATCATTAGTATCGTTCAGCGTATCAGTATAGTCTCTTGTCATAACTGTCGTCATTTATTATTAGTAAATACCATTAGTTTATCAGTAGTCTCCAGTCATTGTTGTCAATTTTAGTTTCTTTAGTTCTCTTGTTACTTTTAGCTGTATTTAGTTGTATTTATTTCCTGTAAACACGCATGACCCGCCTAGATTAGCTTAGCTACCCGCGGGCATGTTATCGTACTTTTACCTCAAAACACAATAAAATAAAATGTATGTATGTAATGTATGTATGCAAGAAATGGCATACTCCTCAAGGAAACGGTTTTGTCAGTTTTGACTATATAATTTTTCAAACTCCAGGTGCTATTGCATGTTTTCTTTCCTAGCTACTTATATTATCATCGTTATTGAAACCTTACTTGCCATTTTTAAAGGTGGACATCCGCTATAATCTTCCTACAACCCGTGATGAAATCTGCAAGTTTGATGTGACAACCACAGTTAAAGAAACCAAACAGCAAAAACCTGGCCCTGTTCAAGTAAAACAACGGAACAAAAAAGGAAGAGGAAATCGGTGTAAAGGGAAAAATAAGAATAAGAAAAAATGTAAAAAAGGAAAAAAGAGGCAACCACCGAAACCTCCACCTGTGAAGAGTATTCTGTTGAAAGTTTGCGCTCGGTAAGTTATGGTAAATAAAACTCTGGGAGAGCTGTCCTTCAGCGCAATAACTGGACCGTTGAAGTTCCATATCGACTCCATAGCTTAATGGATATAGTCGAATACGGATCGTTTAGGGTGACTCGGAGCTGGCTTATTACTGTCAATCAGAAAAGATAGGGTTCTAAATGATTTGTTTACCTCGTAGGTATAAGGAAAGAAGAAATACAAGTATGTATATCATGGATATTGGCATTTTAACAGGGTTTAAACCAGACCAAATGTCTCTGCGAAAGGTAATTTTCCAATATATGTTGCAATAGACCAATTTCGATTTTTTAAAAGTTAACCCATTCTTGGCTCTGAGGCTTGGGGAAATAAAACAAAAGAATTTATTAATCATTGCTGAGCCTTCAGATGATTTCTTTTGTTTTATTTCCCCAAGCCTCGCAGTCAAGTAGGAACTCTAATATATCGAAATTGGTTTATTACTGTCCTTTCTTTAACCTTGTATAATTATAACTCATAACTATAATTACCTATAGTTAAAGAGGGTAACACCAATTAATGTAAATGTATTCTCACTGGTGGCCCTGTAACTGCACTGCGCAGCTACCAAGATCATGGCAACGGCGTCTACGTCCCCTACTTGTGTTGAACAATGTCAGGGGTTCCTTGACATCCCTTCTATAACTGATGTGTAAAGATGATGGAGAAAATGCCAACAGCGTAATCTCACCGCCTAATGACGGTCCTTACCGCGCGCTTTCCCGTCGTCAAATGACGTTCCCTTTCTGTTGCTAAATCGGCTTAATGTCTCCCGTTCAGAAGACGAGCGCTCTTCAATTGAGTTAACTGGGCGGTAATATATCCAAAGCAACGCTGTGTTCCCCTTAATGGGGGGTTCCGCCCGAAAGCAGTACCTTTTTCAGGCTTCAGGTATATGAAATGGTAGGGATTTCATTAATTGGAGGTTATGAAAGGGTTAAGAAAATCATATCTGTCATTTCGGTTTGTAAAAGGATCAAAAAGTAGATGCATTTTATGGATATGAAAGAGACATGAAAACTTCCTGGTTTAGTGATAAGATAAATGTATTTAAAAAAGGCGATGCAATTACAGCAGTTAAAAGGGATGCAATGCTCTAAACAAGCTAAGTGAAAGGGGTAGCATTTTTCAGTAGAAGTTTTGCGAAAGGGGTACTTTTTTCTGTAAAAAGTGGTATACAAAGCTAAAGGGGTGAGAGGTTGGACTTCGGGGGGAAACCTCCCCATATAAACCTTCTTTGAGTAACCGCCAAGACTGTGGTCAGTACCGCCAAACATAGTAACAAGGAATGCATTTTTCAGCGTCATGTAACGCCATTTTGCCGATCTACGCTGTTTAATTTGTCCAGTTCTAATTCTTACCGGATTAAACTATATACTTCCGATTTCATTTGACAGTTGCAAGATAATTTGCCTGAATTGGACAAGTACGAACTGTCAGACAGATCACTGGTTATATACCTAAACCAGGTAAGTCGACTGTCACATAAGAATGAACGAACCTTATTGATATTTAAAGATGCAGTTTTCATGTTATTCTACCCATCGTTTTAACAGTAACCGAAACTATTATATGGCTGAATCCGCAAGACCAATCAAATCCTGTGCTCTGACTGGTCACCCGAGCGGGCAAGTTGTACCCGCTTGAGAGTTCCAGCGTTGGTCCTTCCAGGAAAAATTCCTTTTTTGGCAATAGAATGATGAAGTTTCTTTTAGATGGCTGAATATTGGAATATTGATATATCTCTCTCCTTTTTTTGTGTTTTCAGCCTTTGGTCATTATTTTATGTTCGCTGCTTCTGTCAATGCCCAGTACGAAAAAGAACCTAAAGTCTAGTTATGCGTACGTGTAGCTCGCTCAGATTTATTTGTATGCTTCGCCTTTTTGTTAATGAATATAAGGAGTTCAAAACTGTTGGTCATTTGCTTAACTGTTGCGTAATAGGGGTTCTCATATCCCGTCTTCCCGCCTATTTTTCTTCTTATATCCCTCTACTTTGCCCTTTTTATGTACGAATCCCGATTCCGCCTTAATTTTGTCACGACTTTCTTGCTTGAACTATTGAAAAAGACGTTATATAAGACTAATCTTCATGCATAGCAGCTTTAAGTTTAAGGTTCTTAAGTGGGTATATAAACTAGAAACATGGCTGCTCACCTGTAGCTAACCACAACATTATAACTAACCTCAGTGAAAATTATCGTGATCCATAAAATGATGACAAAACGAAAACTTCAAAGCTGGGTAAAATACAATAATTAAAGTCACTAAAAAAGCAGCCTTGCTCTCGCCTTAGTTTTAAGGTGCTTTGTCAACTGACCCTTAAAAAAGTTAAAATCTGTGGAGTTGCTGATTGTGATAGGGTGTGGTAACGCAGTGAAAACGCTGACAGCGCTGTCTTGGATTAGGTCCCTGACTCTAATGGAGCCTGCAACATAACGGGACTAGATGATCTTAGCGTCCTTTTGGCGTTACGATTGTTCAACCTAAGATAGGAGAGTTAATCCTCAAGGTACAGTGCCTTGAGAACATCATTTGGCAAATGCTTCTTGCGTTTTGGCGCCATCCTAGCTTATTAAGCAAATATTGCTTGGTTGTTGTTGTTTTTTGTTTTTTTGTTTCAAAATAACTGCTGTACTCGTTGAAGTCTCAACATAATATGCTGGTCTTTATTTAAAATGAATGTGACTTCCAACTTCTGAGATTAAATACTTCTGGACACTGACGAAAACCACACGAAAATAGAAATACCAGAGAAAGGTAATAATGGGTAAATTTGACAAGTTTCACTTTCTTTGCACTCATAGCTGTCATTCCTTAACCACAAAGGCGGACTGCTCACAAAAGAGCCATTTTTGTCAGTCAACGCGGTGTTGTCAGGACAAAACTAAATTCCCGTATCCCGCTACTGTTCCTTTACTTTTCCCGCATCCCAAGCTCATAAAAATAGGAAATCCCGCTCCCGCTCGCTATCAAAATTCTCGCTTGCCGCTCCTATTTAGTAAGAAAATAAGTAAAAGCTTTATTAATGTGTCAATGTATTTAGTTTTCACAAGCTCGCATCCCGCGTATCACCATAAAAAATAGCCAAATCCTGCATGATCCCGCCAAATCTATTGTGGACCCTCTTACTTACTTGCTTTTCACAGATTCATTTACGCTTCGCATTTGGTCATTATTTAAGGTTCGCTGAATCTGTCAATGCCCAGTACGAAAAAGAGCCTAAAGTCTAGTTATTACGCGTATGTGTAGCTCGCTTGGATTTATTTGTACGCTTTAGCGCTTGATTGTTAATGAATATAAGGAGTTCTCAACTGTTGGTCATATGCCTAACTGTTGCGCATTGTTCTTAGGTCGGGACCTCTGCACTAAATTTCACTTACATACACGGCCTTGGTAATTTTTGTTATCTCAGATTCCAAATGACCGAGACCTGTGCGTGGATGTGCAGTTTGACCCAGAATACAGCGTGGGTGTTGTGCAGGCGGCTCCTATTAATGTCTACGACTACTATGAACCAGGTGAAATCAAACACTTTAGTTGGATGAAATGTTTCGTCCCCAGAGGTGGAAAATGTCAATTTGCAATAAAAATCTTAAATTGCGATGGCGAAATACCAATTGATATGTTGTTGTTGTTGTTTTTGTTTGTTTGCCATTGCAGACGAGTCGTGTACCAAGTTTTACGTGCCAGATAAGAACAGCCCTTTGACTTTGGGTGTGTGCGACGGGGGATCTTGTAAATGTGTTAGCGGTAAGTTGGAACAAGTACTGACGTTGCTTTCATATTTTGATCCTGCTATTGTTAAAATATTTTACAGACCTCTTTAGCTTAATGTACAGTGGAACCTTGATATTATGAACCTCTGTGTAACGAAGTGCTCGGTATTACGAAAGATTTTCTTTATCCCAGTTATACTTAAATACATGGAAATGTACCTCGATATTCCCCTGTATTTTTTGTTTTTTCAATGATGGTCTCATGGGAAATTTCCCCTTAATCTTTTGATGAATAACGCGTACATATCCACGTAAACATAACGAAATTTGAAAGAAATGGAGCGTTTTCACTCACGTGGCCACCATTTATGCTAATTCATTGTTGCCGCGAAAGGAAATGCAACCTCAAGAGAATAAGGCTTGGATGTATAACGTCAAGTTTTAAATTTCGTTTCTTCAGATCCATGTGCTAAGGAAGATCCTCCCATTGGCAACATCTCCAAGCTCACCGACATGGCTTGTCTTAATTATCATTACGGTAAGATGGCACGAACTTACTGTGCGATTTAATAGTGACTGGGGCACTTTAATTTTTTTAAATTTTTAATTTTTTTTTTTAATGAACACTAGTGAGCAGCACAAAGTAACGCGAAGATCTTGTTTACTTGATTTTATTTCTCCCACCGGTTTCATCTGATCACACAGACTTCATCAGGGAGTATAACAAGATGGAGCTAAGGAACTAACTTTATACCTAATAATTAAGACAAAATTACGTTCCTGTTAGGGTGCGAACAGTAAAAAACGCCCACAAAATATGCGTACAAGATATGACTATAATCCTGCGTTATAAAATTTGCAATGTTTAGTTTTGGGGCTCACGGATTCAACATTTAATTTTCAAACACTGACAAGAATCTTCGATAAGATTACGTGTTAGTTTCTTCATCGCCTTCGTTCACAAATAAACTCAGTTTTAAATGTTGAAGGAGAAGTCAAGGTTGATAGACGCCTTATAACTTTATTTCAACCTTTTTTCCGAGGTAAAGAGATTTAGAGCTCTGAAATGAGCATTTTCTTTGAAATTATGGTCCGTATAGCAAGTTAAGGACCGCAAATTGACCAATCGCATGGCGAAAACAGACTCAACCATATAATAATGATTATTATAATGATGATGATAATGATGATGATAATGATAATGATGATAGTGATGATGATGATGACGATGATGATGATTAAAAAGATCACCCTATTGGGAACGGCGCGCAAACTAAGAAAACTTCTGTCTATCCCGAATTAAAAATACCCCTCTGGCACCTCGGGACCAAGAAATGGGTCCGATTCAGTAAGAAAGTGCAAGAAGCAGTCTGTAGCAAGTTAGCACCAGAAATAATAATAATAATAATAATAATAATAATAATAATAATAACTATCATTAATTAGTTATTATCATTATTTTGTCAGCAATTAGAGGGCGAGTTCTGCTGATTGACCAATACAAAAATATGGTAGAGTATCTGGTACGAGTTCTGAAAATCATCAAGAAACGCAACAGGAAATTAACAGTTGGAAAAGTACTCACGCTTTGGAAGCGCAGAGACTGCAACAGTCCAGATCTCAAGGAGAGGAACGAATATTTGTTTATGGGCCTTGAGAAGGGAGGGAGATACGAGCTGGACAAGAGCTCGTTCGTGAAATTTTGGCCGAAGAGCCGAGCCAACAAGGATAAAAAGAGCTTGGACAAGTTCGCTAAGCAATTTACGTGCTAAATTGATTCTGGCAAAGAGTTTAGTACAGTTCAGTGCGTTTACTGGATAAAAAAATGCTGTAGAAATGATTTTTCTAAAAGTTGAAAAAAATAATGTTGCTACATCTTAGTATGCAAAAGTAGAGAGAAAAATAATGTTGCTACATCTTAGTATGCAATAAAGCGGCTTCGAAAACTTTAATATTGTGTTTAATATTTTACGCCTGGAGAGAAACGGGTAAGAGCACTCTGATAAGGAACACTTCTGCCGCTTTACAACCCTGCGAAACGGTCCCGGCACAGAACTGTTGTTTGAGAAAAGAAACAAATGACTGGTCTCTGATAAAAGATCAAAGCATTTTCCTATTGGTGATCATTTTATAAATTCTCATAACATTTTCCCTTGTTGATGTATGGATGTTGTTAGGAGAAAACTTATGTCAGGTACTCGACTTAGGACTTAAAGAGTGAAGCAGTTAATTTTTTTAGGAGTATGTATACATTGTTTCGTATTTCTAAGAGTTGCAATTCTTTTGTGTCGTTCGTTAGCCACTGTTTCATGCATAATCTTCTCTCGATTTGCCGACTGAGGACAGGTAGCCGGGGAGCTGGGGAGATGGGGGTGTGACTGAGGGGGTGCCAAAGGTTTGTAGGGGGATGCTCCCAAGCCAAGTATCGTCTCTAAAATGTATCTTCAATTTGTCTTAAACGGTATTGATACTGTTGTAACGACAACTACATCAAATTAGAAGAGTTTCGACCAATCACGGTGTGACTTGGATTACGAAAACGATCGGCTGTTTAGTGCTTTACATTACAAGGTATGCCTTTGGGGCGGATTAGGGGGTGTACAATCGATTGTACTGTAAGGAGTAACCCCAACCGTCCGGTAGGCCTTTCCCGATTGTGCTCGTAAAATGCTGGAAAGTTGCTAACTGGAATGCCAAAAAGTTGCTAAAAAATTGCCAAAAATCTAAAAAGTTGCTCACTAAATTTCAAAAGTTGCCACTTGAATTTCTTGATATTTTTATATAAACGTTAATTAAGAGGATTATTTTTCGTTCTTCACAATAATTACTAACATCGGTAGAGAAAAATAGCTGGAAGCTTAACTATGTTTAATTTAAAACAAAGTTTAAAAAAACTAAGAATTAAAAAAAAATTGACAAACATTCAAGAAATTCGCATGAATTGAAGTTTTCTATGAAATGGTTTACTTTTTTTGTGCTTGATATGTGCTCTAAACCTATATTTTGCTCAAAAGTTGCTCAGAAAGGCAAAATTTGCTCGAGGTTCGGCTAGAACCGCAAAAAGGTGCTCTAGACGCCAAAAGCCGCTCAAAAGTTGCCGATCACAAAAATCGGGAAAGGCCCACCCACGGGAGTCTAAAACATAACATCCGTTAAGTTAAACCAAGTTAGTCAGAAATGTCAGAAGAGAGCGTGGAGAAGGCTGACGTTTCCTTCGAAAACCAAAGCACCCTCAAGGAATATCACACCAGCTTCGTAGCATAGTCCTGTGATCAAAAATAGTCACAATACACGTGGGGGCCGACCTCAACGATAGAGAATGTAATATCTTCAGACAACTCTGGTTATTTTTTTTTATTCATCTAATCCACCCATTCGTTGTTATAGTTTTTTTTTTTTTTCGTTTTGGTGCGTCTCACTCGCAAACTTTTACTGTGACACTCGTTCAGACTATTGGACCCATATCTCTCCATCCCTACTTACTGTTCAACCAGAATTTCCTCAGAATTTGGGTTCAAGTACTGTGCAAAAAGAAATAAAGGCTATCTTGAAAAATACTTTGAAAAGAAATTCCTAAGTTTCTTTTCAGACGAGAAAGCGGCGAAATTTTGACTCTTATTGTTAAGTGTTCATGATCAGCGAAATTAAGGAAGCTACAATTTATTGTAGGTGTGGAATCGAGAAGGGAAGTTTGCTACATTGAGGCAGCATGAAACGAAGCGAGATAAAAATTTCAGTCATTAAATTCCTGTTTTGTTTGGTTTAACGAAACTTTGTCAGGGCAAAACAATTCCCAAAATACTCAGTAATGATCATGAGTGTGAGCTACTCCGTTACAAGAAGTGAAAAGAAATCGTGATAAAGTGATGAAAATTGGCACTTTACCGACGCCTCTGTTTTTTCAAGTTTTGACAACTTTTCAGCACTGATATGATTCCTCAATGCTGAAAGGGAAGTCAGCATTTGGTATTATATTACGAAATATAACGTATCATAAAGGACCCGTTCCTGTTTTCAGTTCAGTACCAGTCGTTGCGGTGGTCAAGTCTTTCAGCACTAAACGGGAAGTAGAGAGTCACGCGTCGAAATTGCGTGCTCAAAAGCTTTGCTGCAACAATGGCCGAAAATCCCAGTACGTTATTGCGGATAATTGTGCTTCTTATTACAGTGGGGTGTTTATCAGCCAAAAGGTAAGCTGGTAGAGACCAGGTTGTACAGATTGACTGAGATATTTTGCTGTTTGGATTCCGTTTTAGACGTCAATGTGTAATCGGCTCTTGTTCACGAATGCAATCAGCGAAAACTTTCTGAATGAGACTGAAAATGGATACTAACGTTATTAATGAACTCGAAAAGGGCTGGCAATGTTAGATCACGTCAGTCGGAAAGGACAAATGCTTATTCACCGAGTTTGGCTGCGTTCAGTTAAAAAGTGGAAAATGTTAAAACATGGTTAAATAAGTTTAAAAAGGTTTCCGTTCGTGGCCCTCTGATTTTAAAACCCAAAGGCTCGGTGAAGTCAGTGGCAGCCTCTGCAGGAGCAAATCTGTCGGAATGGCCGTGTATATAACTGTTTTGTTTAGTTAAAAGGCGAAAGGCTATAGATAGAAAGTTTAATATTTCTAAGTTTTTTTTCAAAAAGTAAACGTGCGACGTTCGACGAGTTTCGTTTTTTACTTTTTGGGAAGTCGTGCAGATCTTCATGATCAAGTGAGATTTATTTAGTTCCTTGCAAACTAGACATCTGAAAAGAAAGTGACCGTGTTTCCGGTTTCATCGCTTAAGTGCAAGTTAATTTTAGAGGAAGCAAACAATGTTTTCTTTGATCAATTTGATATCAAAAGTAGAAGTTAGCAATATCTCCTTTGACTTTTGATTTTGCGTTTGAAAGGTTTCCTGTATGACTCGCTTTATGCAAAGCCACAACTGATACATCAGTCGGACTCGGAGAGCAAATTGAAATTTCATTATCTTCCTCTTGGCAGGTTTTCTATAATGGCACCAAATGTGTTCCATGTTGGGGTCAAAGAGCAAGTCTCGATTACGTTGTTTGACTCTGGGAACCCTGTGAATGTACAGTTGTATCTACAGGACTACCCACATAGACGAAAAACATTCTCCCGCATTCAAGGACGAGTGGATCAGGGTAAAAATAATCAAATAACGCCTCAAATTATTTAACAGGATTTTAAAATTAGAAGGAAAATATAGCAATAATTCATTGAAATAACTGAACATATTTAGCTACTAGGTCTGAAATTTAAAACCTGGAGGGAGTTGGAGCCGGAGTCGTAATCAGAAGAGTAGATGTTTAATTTACGATCTAGTGAAAACAGCGTTCTGATTCCGCTTACGACTCCGTCGTTTACGATCAAGTGAAAACTGGGTCGTCGGAGTCGCAAGCAGAAGCGGAAGAACCAGACCAATCACAGTACTTAAAAATACTTGATGTTGTCACGCTACTGGACATGCGTAATCGTTTAAGGGCAGAACAACTGTATTACTTTATACATACAAACGCAAAACCGATATGTTTCACTTTTTCAGTAAAGTTCAATTAGATCATAGTACCTTACAAAGATGAAAGTTTAAATAAATGTAATAATGAGAAAAGTTTGTTTCGAATTTTTGCTCTTGTTTGAATTTTATCCGGCGGGGTTCAAATCCACATGTAATTTATCATAAGCACCGGAGCTGCTTTACAACCGCTTTCATATCATAGTTTTCTTCCTCGCCTTTAAACTACACAACTGCACTGTTACAAGTGCTGCTAACCTTAAAGGATTTCGATATAAACACAATTCTGCAAAATTTTCAAAATGTCATATTGTTTGTTTTTGTTTTATTGTTCTTTTCTTTTTTAGGAGGCAATATTTTCCTTCCAGTAAAGGTAAGGGCGGAATTCTTGTTATATATAAAACACGATATCCTCGTAATTGAGGTTTATTTAATCTATTAACTCAAATTTCTTTAAAACTAAAACTTGGAAAAAACTCCGCTTAGCTCCGGTTACAAAAAGTTAAATGCGAGAACATGTAATCGCCTGACTTGCTGGCGGCAGAACCTGCAGCTCGTGGGCATAAGTTATTACAAATCGAAATGAAATGGCTGCTTCCGCGAGCGGGTAACTATAACGCGAATCCTGCATGTGTTCTTAATGGTTACCCAAGCGGGTAAGACGGTTTTTCTCGCCTTCGCGGGATACCCCGCGTTGGCCCTGCAAGAAACCAGTTCTCTTGGACATGTAATGAATCCTCGGCCTCGTTCTTCTTTTTCCTTTCTTTTTTTTTTATTGTTGTTTGTAATTGCCGGTTGTTGTTGTGTCCTTTTTATTGACCTCGACCTCATCTCATCTCGACCTCACGGCTTATACAATAACGCATCTATTTATTCATAGCTACTAGTTTCAGCCACTTAGAACACACACTGTTAAGTCATCATAGTTTTGCACATATTATAGGTAGAAGCCGGAGACCTGCCAGATACCGCGTCTGTGGATAAACAATACGTATATCTGGTAGCCAAGTCGGATGACGCACATTATCAGTTTCATAAGGAAGCCAAGATTCTTCTGAGCTATAGAGACGGGATGGTGTTCATACAGACGGACAAACCAATCTATACTCCAAAACAAAGGGGTAAGAAGTGCGACGACCCCAATTTTCCTTAATAATTTTTCACATTTTTTGCGCGTGTGCAGCGCCACCTTGCTTGCAAAGACCACAGGCAGATACAGTGTCACGCCTTATGGTGCAGTTGGACCGTCCAACCA